GGCTCTGATAGTGGATTGGTAATTATCCCTAGTGTAAGAATGGAGTTTGGGAGCCCATTCCACATAGAGGGATTCTCTCTCAGCCTAGACAAATTAGGAAGGGTCTAGGCCCTGCTCCAAATGATATAACAGACTTTGAAGATTCCCCTACAGAAGTCCTAACCTCCCTGGGGAACGGAGAGAGGATGAGATAGGGGGTTGGTGTGGGGCAGGGGAGGAGGAGAGGGAGAGGGAACTAGGATTGACATGTAAAACAAGCTTGTTTCTAATTTAAATTAAAAAATCACAAAAAACATTTAGTCCAAAACAGCAAATTTTTACCTAAAACATAAAAACATTCTCCAGAAAAGATAATATATTAGGCCACAAACTAAAAAATTTAAGATTGAGAAATTTTTGTATCTACTTAAGTATTATTTTCAACCACAATATGAAACTAGAAGTCAAGAAACAAAATGAAGGCCAGGAACAGTGGTGCACACTCTTAATCCCAGTGTTGAGGAGTAAAGGCAGGCAAATTTCTGTAAGTTCAAGGCCAGCCAAGGCTGTATAGTGAGATCTTGTCTCAAAGAGAAAAAAAGGAAAATGTAAAATATACAACATGTAGAAATTAAATAGTAATTTTCTGAGTAACCAATGTGCCAAAATATTAATAGGGAAATTAATGCAACATGAGAAAAATGAAAAAAACAACCCAAAATTGAGAAACACAGTAAAAATAGACTTAAAAAGGAAAGGATATGTCAATGAACATCTATGTTGAAAAGAAAGTAGTTCAAATAAACTAAGTTTACACATCAGGGAACTAGAAATAAAAATAAACCAATCCCCAAATTAATAGAAATAACAACAACAAAAACATAACAAAACACCTCAGAGCACAAGTAAATCAGAGATGGGAAAAACAACAAAAATGTTCAGCAAAAACAGTGGGTTTTTTTTCTTCAGACTAACAAAATTGGCAAGCAAAAGTCCATAAAAAGTGAAGTTCCTAGAAAAAAGCCATGCCTGTGTTGAAGATTGTGTAAGGCTATAGACGGACTGGAGTTCATAGTCTTAGAGAATGAGGGTGCTGCAGATGCAGGGACAAACTGTATTGGTCTAACTTCAGTCCTTCAAGTTTACTGTTTATCTGTACCCCAGATAACATCCCCTTCTCATTGCATATATTCATTGTACATTGCATTGTGTTACACAGGAAACTTACACACGTTTTATAAATATCACACATTGACCTCACATCTTTTTGACAATCTGTCAAAACACTTGGAATGTATTGTTAGCTGACCACTAATTTCTACCAGTCCCAAGGCTGAGAATATCATCAGATAACTCTTAAACCACATTTAGTTACAAGCCCCCAATATGATGTTCCCAACATTGTATTTGGTAAATGCTTTGGTTTATGATTTTATTCTGTGGCTATAAGTGTTCATGCAACTACTTCTATAATGGAACATGTTATTTGTGGCAAATGGAATCTATGCTTCTGTTGCATCATCATGTATATTTGATTCTGAATAAACTGTTTCCCTGGAGTGAAAGCTGTGTTTTGCATAAAAATAGATAACATAAGAAAAATAGATAACATAAAATAGAAACAAAATGAGATACTACAGTTGACACCACAGAAATAAAATGGTCGTAAGAAACTACTATGTCCACTTATATGTAAATTGGATAACCTGAAGAAGTAGGTTAATTACAAGAGACATAATATACCAAAATCTGTTCATGAAAATAAAAAACCTCAACACTCTGACAAAGTAAAAAAGATTAAATTAAGGATAAAACTGTTTACTTAAACAAAACTTACAATCAACTGCCTCACTGCTAATCCTATAAAACCTTTAAAAAAAGAATAAATTCCAATTCCTTGAAAGCTCTCCCAAAGATTGAAGACAAGAGATCACGTACAAAGTTATTAATCACAATGTCACTGCTTTCAGAATGTCAAAAGAAAATGTATCAGCAATGTGAAAATAAAGAAAACACCTGTATTGTTGATGGGCATATAAATTAGAATAGCAACTACAGAGAGTTCAGTTTCCTCAGAAAATTAAGACAAACCTAATATGTCAATCCCATCATTGCATATGTATGAATGGAGTAAAGTCACTGTTTCAAAGAGGTCTCTGCAATCCCATGCCCATTGCAACATTTATAATAAAGGAGATATGTAATGAAATGTAATGAATCCATGTCTGTTGATGCACATAGACAATCTCACACACATTTTCATATTCATATACATTCACACACATGTGTAATGGCATGGTACTCAGCATTTAGTTCATTTCTTTTTTAAGTTTTATTTATTTATTTGTTTGTACATATGGTGTTCTGCCTTCATGAATGCCTGCAGGCCAGAAGAAGGTACCATATCTCATTACATGGTGTTTGTGAGTCACTGTGTAGTTGCTGGGAATTGAACTCAGGACCTCTGCAAGAGCAGCCAGTGCTCTTAACCACTGAGCCACTTCTCCAGCCCAATACTTAGCATTTGAAAACAAGCAGATCATCCTGATATGGCAGTACACACTTGGAATTCCAGCACTTGGCTGGCTGAGGTAAGGAAACAAAGCCTCAAGACAGATCTTGTAAAACCATATATTCTTGAGAATTTCTTCATTCTTTGTTCTTTTAAATACCCTAAAGTTGAAAGAATTCTGCCCAACGAAGCCTATCTACCTTAGTCTTATCTTAATCATAAGTTCACATCTCCTATTTCTGTAAATATTAAATTCAGTGATCTATGATTATATGTAGGCTCAAAGAACATGGGCATTTTACAAAATAATTATCACTAGGCTCTTTTTTTTTTAAAGATTTATTTATTTATTTATTACATATACACCAGATTGAATTGTAGATGGTTGTCAGCCACCATGTGGTTGCTGGGAATTGAACTCAAGACCTCTGGAAGAGCAGTCAGTGCTCTTAACCTCTGAGCCATCTCTCCAGCCCTATCACTAGGCTCTTAAGTTAAGACATACCAATAAGTACTCAAGAGAGTTCCAAAGAATTTTGTGTTCGTGTGTGTCTGTGTGCGCATGTGAAGGCACATGAATGCACGTGACTATGCAGGCCAAAGGTTAACCTAGGATGTCATTCATTGGGAGTCTTGTACCTTGTTTTTGAGACAGAGTCTCTCACTGGAACCCAGTGCTTCCTGGTTAGGCAAGGCTGTGTGGTCAGTGAGTCCCAGAGAACTGCCCATTTCCACTTATCTGACATTGAGTTGTTTTCCTTATGTGGGTTCTGGGGATTGAACTCAGGTCTGAATGTCTGTCTTCTGACTGAGCCATGTCCTCAGCCCCTATGTTACTTTTGGTAATAGTAACATTCCTCCTCCCTAGATTTAGCAAGAAGGAAGAAGGAAGATGGAAGAGGGGGAGAGATGAAAAAGGAGTAGGGAGTTGCTTGGAACTTTTGAGTTATGGGGTTGGAGGGATGAGTCAATGGCTAAGCACTGGCTACTCTTCCTGAAGATGCAGGTACAATTCCAAGCAACCATGTGGCAGCTAACAACTGTCTGTTGCTCCCTTTCCAGGGTATCTGCTGTTCTGCTCTGGCCTCTGAGGGCACCGCATGGACGTGGTACATACACTTTAGATGCAGGCAAAGCACTCATATACGTAGAGTAATAATAACAATTAAAACCTTTTTTTTAGTGTGTCCTTGTTTTATTTGGGGTGGGAGGCAGGAGGGAGTCACCGGGTGAGAGAAGGACTGAAAACAGGTGACCTCCTTATTCTCCTTTTCAGGCAGATGTAGTGCCATTCTGACAGCAGCATCACCTAAGGGCATACTGTGAGCCGGTAACAGTATCCTGGACTGAGAAACTATGAAGGAGAAAATGTTGAGACAAATCTCTTGAGTTTTAAGGTCAATATTTGAAATAGTGTGTCACTGAAACAATGCTTTTAAATGTCCTGTGATACATTTACTGTGCTGCCTGGTAAAGAAGAGCAAAGAAAGCAACAGCAAACTTCAAACAGCAATTGTCCATGCCTTCCCCTCAAAACTACCGAGAACTTGTAGGTTAGAAAAGAATTCCTGGCCAAGCTCTGGAGAGGGAGGAGGGAACACATGAGCAAGGGAGGTCAAGATCATGATGGAGAAATCTACAGAGACAGTGGAACAAAGCTCATGGAAACGCATGAACTCTCGACCAGCAGTTGTGGAAACTCCAGGGGATCAAACTAGGCCCCTCCCATATATGGGAGACAGTTGTGAAGCTTGAATTATTTGAGGGGCCCCTGGCAGCGGGACCAGGATCTATCCCCGGTACATGAGCTAGCTTGTTGGAGCCCATTCCCTATGGTGGGAAGCCATGCTCAGCCTTAATGACTGGGAGAGGCGCTTGACCCTGCCCCAACTTAATGTACCAGGCTTTGTTGACTCCCCATGGGAGTCCTTACCCCTGAGGAGGAGTGGACTGTGGACAGGCTGAGGGTGGGGAGATGAGGAGGGGCTGGAGGAAGGGTAGGAGGAGGGGTAGGAGGGAGAACTGTGTGGTTGGAATGTAAAGTGAAATTTAGAAGAATAAATAAATTATATATAAAAAGGAAAGAATGCCTGAGGCAGGTGTGGGGGCTCATGCTGCTTACTGGCACACAGGAGGTTCAGGCAGAAGCATTCTAAGTTTGAGGCCAGTGTCAGTTAAGGCCCTGTCTCAAAAACCAAAATAATTGTCATATGTATCGTCACTAATATTAGACCCTTTGTACAAATCACTTTAGAAAACTAAAAATAAAATTAAAATTTATTGCTTTCTTCTGACCTACATGACATATGTGAAAAAGAATTTATTTAAGTATTTACTGACTTTCTAATCTACACACAACACTGTATCTTCATTCATAATTTTAACAGGCGTTAAAATCATTTATTAGTACAAGCAATCACTTCAGTTCTCACTTTAAAATACCTTCATTTTTTTCCACTCATTTCTCCTAAGAAAAGAGGACCCTAAGGTGACAAACACCATTGGTTACCTTTAAACGATTCCCCGCAGCAGCAGCATGTAAAGGCAGCGTTCCATCCATGCTTTCACAGTTCACATGTGCACCAGCCTCTAATAACTCTCTAATTACATCACTAAAGCCCTCACTAGACGCCTCATGAAGGGCTGTCCAACCTGAAAAGGATGAAAAGAAAAAATCATAAAGCTGTTCCATACCTATTGAGTTTCATATAATGTCTTTATTTTAAGGGGGTCTTGTGTTAGTGGACTCAAGAACTCTCCTGAAATATATGTACATGTATTGAGCATTGAACAAGAATTAGTATTAAAATACTGCTTTAAAGCATACAGGCTTCATTTGGGGAGAAAAGAAAACTCTTCATAACTACAGCTGACAGAAGCACCATCAAAAAAACAAGGTAAGTAAATGCTCCCATTTCCGTTTGTTTCTGCAACCCAGGTTCGACAGGGTCTGACATTTGCATCTCAGATTTACACTGCTCCATTCCTACCAAAGGGCTATCTGATGAGTAAAGCTTTGCATTTCCCTTTTCAATTTACATAAGTTACTTCATGTATAAGCAGAATGTCACAAAATCGATGTTTAGAGCAGGTTTAGAATTAAAAAAAAATCAGGAAAGGAGGGAGTTGTATAAAGGGGGTAGGGAGAGAAGAATGGACAGGAAGCTGGGACATTTTGCATTTTCTCCCAAGTCAGGGAATGGGAATTAAGACTTCCAATGAAAAGCCCAACTCCCTTTACCCACCCACCCCCATTCTGTACTCCCTTCTGAATGCTCTCAGTTATATGAACTGTTTCAAAGGAGACATTTAAGCAGTGATAAATAATTAAAATACCGTATAAAAATACATTCAAAATTAGTAAATTATCAGCCAGCATCAAAATTGGGGACAAAGGAAAAAATAGTATTTTGGCAAGTTCAAATTAAAAACACAAACAATTAAAAGGACCCAACCTGCATTATCTTTTAGATTCACATCTGCTCCAGACTCTATTAGAACTTTCACTAGGGACAGATTTCCTTCTCTGGAAGCCAAGTGGAGCTGGCTCTCTCCTTTGGCATTCCTCTTCTTGATTCCATCTGTGCTGGCATCTGTAACTGTATCAAACAAATCTGAGACTTATTTTATGCAAAATGTTCATTGTTATAAAGGACCTTAGAAAATATAGATGTACTTCCTGATAATACTCTAAACAGAATGTACTACATGTGTAACATTGTGTAAACATGTGTAACATTGCGTAACCTACTATTACCATTTTCTCAAACTCTTATAATCTCTAACCGTATTCTTAACACTTATCCTTATAGGTTAGTGTAGCTCTCAACCCTCATTGAAGAAGCTTCTTTTGATGCAGAGACATTGTAGAAAACCATGACTGGTCATAATACAGAGGACCAATGACACATGTGTAGTACAATCCCAACATCTAAAGCCTAGGCAACAGCACAGAAGAGGGAGAAGACTGTAAGAGTCGGAGGACTAGGATATCTGTTGTGAGATTGTATAATCTATATATGATAAGGAAGTTGCATCCATATGGTGCCTAAACAAGACACAAATGAAAATACCAGTTGACATGCCAACATAGATAAGGGAAATTTCACAAGGCCCCACCCCCTAGATGAGCTACAGGTAATTAATGACTGCTAAGAGAAGAAGAATCAGTCTTCCCCAGGGATGCCCTAAATGATTACTCAATATCAAGTGGTCATCCCTAAAAACATATATTTATATACATGCAATGCTAGGTGGATGCACCAGGTTGTATTTATATGTTTATTTGTTTATATAAGTAGAGTATTACTATCATCATTAATCTCTGCAACATTTAAATGAAATTTTAAAACAATCCGACAAATCTAAAGGATACAAGCAGTACTCATATTAAACATCTCCACTGTGGTCTGGAAGAGATGCTACTATCAAAAAGTCCAGCCCTTCCTCTCTGCCTTCCTCTCCTGTCCTTTGCAGTAGTGTTTCTTATGCATTTTTACTTAGTAACCCTTTTGTGTCCAAGAAAATTTTGGAGAATCTGGCATACAGGTATATAAAACAGGTATACCAGTCAATTATAGATAACTCATGAGGAGATTATTTTCAAATGGTTCTTTGTTATACATATAAATATGCATTTACTAAAGATGAAATCAAATTTGTATATTGAGGAAATGGATGCACTTGCTTACTTTTATATAACGAATTAAATTTTGGCTGAGTATTTCACACTGCAGGATATACAGCATCGTCAACATTTGTGACAGCACTATCAACTTGACAGGATCTAGAATTACATATGAAACAAGCTGCTGGGCATGTCTGCGAGATAATTTCTAGATTGGGTTAATTAAGATGAAGAGAGCCATCCTTAAAGCAGCCCATATTATTCCATGGACTGGAGTCTGGACAGAGAACCAGCATGCATAGCCCCTGCTTCCTCACTGCAGATACAATGCTCATGCTTATTCTGCCATACCTTCCCCACCATGATAGACAATAGGTAGGCAGGTCTTTATCTTTGAACTATAAGCCAAAATAAATTGTTCCTCCTTTAAGTTGTTTCTTTATGGGTATAAGTTCAGCAATGAGAAAACTAGTATAACAAATTTTCAGAGTTGACTGACATTTTGATGTTATATTAATCAATACAGAGAATGCTACTTCACATAAATACACAGTAAAAAATGTTGGAATTATGTATAGAGTCATCCAGATATTTTTGGAAATCTATCTTAAACCCAACTCAAAATTCATTTAGTTGTTTATGAAAGTAAAGTCAGCAATTCAAACAGCAATTTTTCAGATCAAGCATTCTAATACAATGCAATTTAAAGATATACTGAATTAATACTTAAACATTGAGGAATTGTGGTAGGAAAATAGTGTCTTTGTTTATCATAATTAAACCATTATGTTTCTATATGAGCAACAAATTTTGCATGTATAGTTAAAAACACTGACATTCAGACTATACAATAGTCTCAAATCTGAGCTGTCTCAGGCAGTATTCATTGGCTCCCCGTGACATGAAGGTACGGATATCATGTGCAGTGCAAAAGGCATATTGTATGCTCAGAACTAAGGGTACAGTGAACTTGCATGATATTACACAAGTAAGTGCTGCCACAAACACTTTAAATTAATTACAGGTACCAACCTACAGTTTTAAAATCTGGGTTTTAGAGGAAATTGGTGAAACTTTATCAACTATTCTACATATATTTCTACTTTATGCATCACAGCATCTATATATCCTTTTACATTTTTATGCTATTACTTACAGGGTCTCACTATGTAGCCTGGATAGTCTAGAAGTTGGTGTGTAAATCTGATTGGCCCAAAACTCAGAGCAATCTGCTTGTCCCTGCCTCCGCAGTGTTGGGATTAAAGGTGTGCATTTTCAGTCCCAGCCACACCACTGTATTTTCAACATCTAAAAACTTGGTATTATTCTGGTAGTTCCTTCTTTACTTAAAAGATGAAATATTCTCAAATTCGGTTTCTTCCACATAAGTGTGATCTGATGTCTCTTTCATCTTGGAATATTTCATCAATATCTGGTGATTTTTGTCTGTATTTGAGCGAGGGACTTTAAAATAGATTGGAAATCTGAGGCTGGTAGGAGTGCAGTAGAACGGAGGACATGGTTAAATTCACTGCTGAATGCTAGTGATATGCTAGTATCAGGGAACCTCCTGATGTCAAGATCTAAAATTCTCAATCCCCTGTTCAAGTTGCTTACAGTTTAATGGTATGACATATATACACAAAATTATACTCAAATATTATATTAAGGAAGTATATCGGTTTCTTGGGTTAGCTATAACAACTTATAAGCCAGTAGGATTTAAACAACAGAATTTTATTCTGCTATCTGAAATCTAAAATAAGGAATCAGCAGGGACATAACTGAAAAGCACTAGGGTAAAAGTCTTCCTTGCCTCTTCTAGGTTCTGGTGTCTGTTAACATTCTTTGGCTTCCCCATTTGAGGTTACGTGAACTCCTTTACTTCACCTATGTGTCTCAAATTTCCCTCTTTTTTTCTCTTTTAAAGCTTTTCATTAGATTTAGGGCTCAACTAGATAATTCAGGATGGTTCCATCTCAAAGACATTAATTTGATTATTTATGTAAATATTCCTTTTCTAAAGAAGATAGCATTCAATCATTTACTATAGAGGTGTTCTTCACAAATCCCATAGCCTAGGAGTAGACTCATTATGGATGAACCATCATCACCCAACCCGCTGTAGAAAGTATGCCCACACAGGTCTTCTATTTACATAAGAGGGAAAATAAGGGAAGGTTCACACAGAAAATGCCTTCTCCAGCACCTTTCATACTTCATAACAACATTTAAATTGACTTTCCAGTGCTTAATATTTAACTTGAGGTGATACAAGTTGTTGTTAATCACAGGAGCTCTAAGAACCACTAGAGGAGAGTTAGTCTGTCAGTAAATATAGACAGTTGATCAATGTGACAAAAAATAGTGCCCATACTTCTTTAATACATTTTTTATTGGTTTTTTGAGGCAGGGTTTCTCTGTGTTGCTTTGAAGACCAGGCTGGCCTTGAACTCACATAGATCCTCCTGCCTCTATATCCCGAGTCCTAATCCTCCCATCGAATATTCTTTATGTCTCTGTTGTTTATCTCCTCTAATGTCTCAAACTGAAAGCCAAAGTCAGCAACACAACAAAAACTTACCTGGAGACTACTGGATTTCCTCAAGTGGAGCTTTAACAACAAATATATCTGAAATCACCTCACTACTAAATGAATGTCCTCCAACATAAAACAAACAAACAAATAAAACCCCACTAATCTAATTTAGTAATTCTTTGAAGTAGAGTAGGTAACAAGGCTTAATTACAAAACTTTGACATAAACATTTATACAAACCTTGGCTGCAAGGAGCTTCCAAAGAACCTTTTCTTTTCCTGAAATTCTGGTCTTGTCTGTGTTCTTGGGTATCACCAGGCATGTGAGTTTCTGAATCCACAGTCTCCCCTTTCTCCTTGCAATTTCTTACAGTTCTTTCAGCTGTACTGGTATTATCAGTTAACTCCTCATCTGAAACACAACCATTTATACTATTAGTCATGTAGTTCTCCTTCCTGGTTATATGACAAGAAAATAAAACCCCTGTTCTTCCAGAGTTTCTGTTTCAAAGAGAACATGAGGAGCCTTTAAAATGTTTTTTTTTTCAGAGCAGACTAAGTGTGCTGGTTGTGGTGCTAATGGAGACACAATGAATAGTTGTGATCAGTGGGGATAGTAACTTTCTGCCATGAAAATGTCACATTAAGAAGAGATAGAAACATTGGTAGATATATTGTTCATTAGCTTTCAATGGTATCAGTTTAGTAACCATCTTTGATTAGACTTTGACTTTCAAGTAAGTACTAGGGATGTCTGGCTAGCCCAGATGACAGAATATAAGCCTCAAAATCACAATCAAGCACAGATATCTTACTGATCAACTTCCCAAATCACAACCTGCACGGTGACCTCCTGCTTGTCAGCTGGACCACAGGGTAAATAGAATTCAGTTGTAAATTTCTGCAGATGGACGGCTAGAAGAAATGTACAAACTGAGAAATAATAATACCTGACTTGTGAGCAATTTCCTTCTCCTCTCCTTGATTAAGTTGTGATGAGTTGGCCAATTCTTTATTTACATTGTCAATGGAATGAAAATGGGTATTGTCCACGGGCTTGTTCCCTGGAAGGTCTTGTGTCCTTTTTTCAGCTGTAGTTATTTCTATTACTTGAGAATGAACAACTGTATGTAAAGGACTATTTGAAGAACTTGGGTTTTGATCTTTTACAACATAATTCTTCTCAGTGTCTTGCTTCTTTTCCACATTATATGTATCAGCTTTATTTACTAAAGGAGTTGGCTCTCTGTGGGCATTATTCTGGAAAGCTTTTAATAGTTCCACTTGACCAGTCACCTGTGTAACTTCATGTGTTGAAGGTGGTCCTGTACAAGGCATCAAATAGTCCTCACTATTGGCACATGAGTGATCAAAAGCAATCCCATGTATATACTGCTCATAATTCGGAATATGCTGTTCATAAATTGATGTTTTCTTTGAATCACAATAATTAACAGCTTCCTTTTGTGGACATGTAGTTAGGCTACCTGCTTTTAGCTCGTTTTCCTGTGAAAAATAGTTTTCAGAAGATGAAACCTGTAGAGAGTCCATTTCTTCTCCCTCTGCTGTGCTTGCCTCATTATGGCAGTGGCCCATGCACTCTTTCTGAGATGCCACAGACTTGACAGAGGTGTGACAATCACTATCACTGTCAGCAAAGCCTTCTTTTATGAAGGAGAGGAAGGAATCTTCCCACTTATTAAAGTTCTTGCCTTTTTCATCCGAGCTCTTGTTTTCAGGGGGATTACATGGGCTACTATGCTGCTCTTGGTTAGTGTGAGGTTGTTGATCTGCAGTTACATGTGGTAATTTTATTTCTTTACATAATGGACGTTCAGAGAAGGAAGCAGCTTTAGTTTGATCAATGGATCCTAATTCCAAGAACTGCATTTCTTGACTATCTGATAAATCTAGAATGTGGGTATTCGATTTTTTGGAAACAAAACAAGCCTCATTGCTGTTACCTGAACCATTGTTTAAGCTTGCTGGAATTGAGACAGAAAGTTCACATGACTCTTTTGGAATGTCATCAAGGGTTTGGACAGTATGCTGCTGCAGAGTAACTAATGTATTCATTCTGCTGAAAGAAGAAACAGCTGTTCCCTGACTTAAATTGTAGTCTTTATCATCTACTTGAGTTTTTTTATGTTGTGCATTTCTTGGTGCTTTACTTTTAGACACATCGGTTCTGCTGTCTTTCAAACTGTGGGCACTGTTCGTTCTGAGATCTGTAGAGTCTGTTTGGTTAATAGCTGATTGCCTAGGCTTGGACTTGCCAAATTCTTTGGTATTGGAATTTTTCTGGCAAAGTTCATATACATATTCTTTATTTACAAGTAAATTGTTGCTTTCTTTATTGGTTTCTACATGTCCTGGTTCCTGTCTATTAGAATTTTCATCACAGATAAACTCAGTGTGACTATCAGAACTTAACTTTGGTTTCTATAGAAAACAACAACAACAAACATGGTTAGATTTAATTTCAGTTACAGAGCTTTAGAGTCTGTGAGACACTGTTAAGGGAGCACTATAGAAGAACTTTTAAGACATTATCCTCTTCCAATTGTCACACAGCAAAGATTAGAATTAGGTTAGTTTCTTCCTTTGCTACCTAAAGAATTATGGGTAGAACAGCAGAAGATGGGATTTGAAAACTAAAAGACAAGATGATTTCTAAAATGGTTTCCCTGGAAACCTGGTAGTAGGATGCTAGGATTAAAACAACACTGCTTCTTACTGGCCACAACTCAAATACCAGATGAAGAGTAACTCTGAAACTGTAATTATTACTCTTGTATTATTTGTATTACTCTTAAATCAGAAAAATTTTGATATGGTTTTTAAGTCCCAGACCTCATAAAAAGCAACAGAAAGGACATGGCTTACAAACATTGCCATAGTATGCTACACTTACCTAACTGCTTCTCAAACTAAAAGGCTAGATAGAATCTTTTGGTAGCTTATACAATTAATACAAAGTGTCTTAAACCAAAGGTGACGTCACTAACCTGACAAACGCTTCACCAGTCTTTCTTTCCCTCTGGTAATCTATAAAAATAACCAGCAGGTACAAACCTGCAAAAATGTTTATTACTAAATACAGATATACCTTGTACTGGAATATATCTTCTGCATTTGCTGCGTCAGTGCTCCTCCTTTGATCTACATAGAAAAAGAGAATAAAAGAAAGTTTCCAGTATACTTCTAAAACCTCAAGTCTTTTGCCATGAAAAAACCAAAAACAAACAAACAACAAAAACTAGAGGGTGGGCCAGCAAAATAAGTCAGCAGGTTTGTACTCGGGCAGGCCTGAATTCAATACCTGGATCCCACAGGTGGCAGGAGAGCACTAACTTCCCAGAGTTGTCTTCTACCTGCCATGTTCACACCTGTACTCACATACATGAACACCTGTATTCACATACATGAACACACACATGCACACTCATATAAAAATTTAAAACTAGAGGAAACATGTGAAATCATGTAAATTATATTAAATTTATATTAAATCTAGCAGTACAACATGACTAAGTAGTTTCCATAATTATTATAAGCTAAGTATTACTTTGAGTGATAATATTTCTATTGGAAAAGTAAATAGATCTGACAAAATAACTAATAATAAAGATTAGCAGCAAACTTAGTATTTTTTAATTTACTCACAGAAATATCCATATATGTTCTCTTTATTCAGTAGATTATGCAAACTGTTTTTATAAGGTTAAAAAAACCCTTTGACAACTAAATAGATTATCATGGGTTGGCAAGAAGGTTCAGGGAAGGGCACCTGCTGCCAAGATCGATAAGCTGAGTTTTATCTCTAGGACTCACACAGTGGAAGGAGAGAACTGACTCCTATAAGCTGTCCTCTGTTCTCCACATACATGTCATACTACACACACACACACACACACACACACACACACACACACACACACACACGATGTAACAAAAACTTTTACATGTATCATCACTTTCCAATATGTCTGCTTAACAGGGTCCTAGCATGAATGCTGCATTGTCTTTGAAGCAAAACATGCATATGCATAGACAGGATCAACAACACTGTGAATGCATAGAGGAAACAAAAAATACTTATATTTAAAAAGGGGCCAAGGTCGATAATTAAAAGATTGCAATTTATAATATCTCTGCTTGCCTTCTTAAAATACTGAATGTGTAATTATAATTAGGCACATGTGAAGTTAACCACAAAAGATAAAACCTTATGTAGGTTCTATTTTCACAGAGAAAATACATTTTAGAAGGGAAATTTCCTTGAATATAATTGGGAAACAAAATATCTTAACAAGGATGTGATTAAATGTGAGGACTTTAATTTATCTCTTAGAAATGACTTTCACCATTACAATCAAATTCCATTTACCCCATTCAAGTGAGAAGAGTTGCCCAGAATGTCCTGTTAAAACCACACTCTAGAGTTTCGCTGTTGCTTCTCTTGTTTATGAGCTGCATGACCCTGGCCAAATTTCTCAATGTCTCTGCCTTCACCAAATGTCCATAAATGAAAAGTAAGAACTGCTATATAATTATGAAGATTAAGTAGTGAAATCCATGTAAAGAAAATACTCTATTATTACTACTGTTGCTGCTAATAGCTTTTAAGAACATAAAGGACACAATGCTTTTTCCTAACATTGGTTCTTAAGTCAAAAGAAGGAAAAAACAGTATTTTGTATAACCACCCAGTCAGGTAAGCATAGCTCCTGACAAACTCTGAAGGAATAGAAGAGACTGTATGTCTTCTCTGTCTTAAAGACCACATTGTCTAGTACAGCCGACTGGCTATACAGATAGACAATGTGGTGGGTTTGCTAATACTAATTTTAGAAATATTTCTTTCTGTCCCTCTGAGCTCCCATCATGCACCAAACAGTATGTTTAGGTATTTTACATACGTTACTTCAACCCTCACACTAACATTCACATACAAATTTGAGTAGATGAACAAATATAAAAGTCCAATTTTGCAAGGCCAGGTATGGTGGTGCACGCCTTTAATCTCAGCACTCAGGAAGTAGAAACAAATGGATCTATGTGAATGTGAGGGCAGTCTGGTCTACATAGTGAGTTTAGTAAGATCCTATCACAAATAAAAAGTCAAATTGCAAATGAGAAAACAGGGTCGTCAATTACCCAAAATTATCCAATGTGATAAAATCTGTAAGAATGAGTTTTACACATCAAAGCAGATGTGTGTTCTCAGAGAAAAATCAGCAAATACATTCCATATTAAGAACATTCTTGATGTTCTTGATTCATCATTTCTATAATTGTAAAGCAACATTCTTCAGGCCTTGGGATAAAGCTTAGGGGAAGGGTGTTTACCTGTATATAACTGGGCTTGGGTTTGATACCTAGCATTTCAAAACTAAACAAAAAAAATAGAATAAAGTAAACCAAAGCCTTTTTGAACTGAAATTTAAAAAACAAATGACTTGTTCAAGGATATATACTTATTAAGAAAACAAAATTCACATTACTTTGGAACATAAGGTGCTAATTAATGGCAATTCAAATATTCATGTTTAAGAAATAGTCAAAGCACCTACTAAAGCATAATAAATAAATTCTCTCACAAAGAAAGAACAAAAGCCAAGTCCAAAGGAGAAAAGTTACAAATTCTGTTGCATGAAGGAAATTTCCTGTGCGGGATTAGGTTAGAGAAACAGAGGTTAGATCAGAGGAGGGGGCACTAAGGAACAGGGCTTCAGGATTCAGAGAGGGTTAGACTTCTGGAGAAAACACTTCCAGGAAAGAAAAAAAGTCTCTTTTCTTAGAGAATAAAGAAGCCACACAATTAAGAATAGCATTACAGCACATTTCAGAATTTATAAACGTGTACCTCTGGCTTTGACATTGTATTTGCAATTTTTGTGTGCCTTGAAACATAAATATGATTATTTTAATACTTCAGTATGCTCTTATGAACCTGGCATCAACAAGTCATGTCTCTCTCAGCTGATGTGACTTGTTTCTAAGAGTGGGCTCTACTTGCTACATTGTGGAAGCAGCACCAGGATGTATGTCTATAGTCCCAGCTACTGAGGAGGCTAAGACAATGGCCTGAGCTCAGGGGCTCAAGTCTAGCCTAAGCAATATAGTAAGATCACATTACAACATTCAGTGTTCTCTCTTTATTACAAAAAGGAGGCATTTTGGTCTAGGTCTTAGTCTTTAGTCAAAAGCATTTATATACTTACATGTCTTGAAGACGTAAAAAACATGAATGGCCATAACATAATAAAATGGGAAAAAATGTATCTATAAAGGAGGACCAGTCTCATGATCAACAGTGAGAATGCTACATAGTCCCTTATTTTCAGCAAATACACTCAACACTAATTGGAAGAACTGTTATATTAAATATAACCCAGTTGGGAAGGAGGTACACTTTGGATTTCATTTGAAACAACTTAGATTAAGAAAAGAGCTTTTCCAGCAGAGTAATCAAAAGGCTTGTGATAACAATGACCAACCACTGAGTAATACTCCATTGTGTAAATGCACCACATTTTCTTTATCCATTCTTCAGTTGAGAGGCATCTAGGTTGCTTCAAGGTTCTGGTTATTACAAATAATGCTGCTCTGAACATAGTGGAACAGATATTCTTGTTGTATGAATGTGCATCTTTTGGGTATATGCCTAAGAGTGGAATTGCTGGATCGTGTGGTAGACTGATTCCCTTTTCCTGAGGAATCTCCATACTGATTTCCAAAATGGCCGCATGAGTTTGCATTCCCACCAGCAGTGGAGGAGTGTTCCCCTTTCTCCATATCCTCTTCAGCATAAGCTGTCATTGGTGTTTTTGATTTTAGCCATTCTGACAGGAGTAAGATGGTATCTCAGAGTTGTTTTGATTTGCATTTCCCTGGTGACTAAGGATGTTGAGCACTTTCTTAAGTGTCTATCAGTCATTTTAGACTCCTATATTGAGAATTCTCTATTTAGTTCTGTACCCCACTTCTTTTTCATTTTTTTTTATTTTCCATTTTAAATTTAGATAAGAAACAAGGTTGCTTCACAAGTCAGTTCCAAGTCCCTCTCCCTTTCCCTCCCCTCCTCCCGTGCCCTCCCCCATCGCCCCCCACGTTATCCCCTCATTCCCCCAGGGAGGGTGAGGCCCTCCATGGGGGTGTCCATAGTCTGTCATTTCATATAGGGCAGGGCCTAGACCCTTCCCCAAGAGTTCAGGATGAGAGTGGACCTCACATTGTTCTATGGGAGTCCAAAGTCCGTGTGTATACTTGGGATGGGTACTGATCTGCTGCCCAAGGCTCAATAGATTACTTAGACCCCCTCACTGACACCCAGATTCAGGGGGTCTTGATCAGTCCCATGCTGGATTCCCAGGCTGATGCCTGGGATTCCAGAGTTAACCTTTGTCTGGTCAGCTGTTTCTGGGGGTTAAACCAGCCCAGTCTTAATCCCTTTGATCATCAGTCCTCCCTCTCTGATACTGGCTTTCTTGAGTTCAGCTCAATACTTAACCAGCCACTAAATGAAGTTTCTGTTTCCCAGACTCTCTGGCTATAGGATTGTAGGCTGGCACTCCCCAGATCTATGTCTAAAATCCATATATGAGAGAGTACATGCCATGTTTCTCTTTTTAATTGGATTATTTGATGTTTTGGAGACTAGCTTCTTGAGTTTACACAATAGAGTACTGCTCAGTGGAAAAAAACAATGGAATCTTGAAATTCGCAGACAAATGGATGGAACTAGAAGAAACCATCTTGAGTGAAAACCAACTTGTCACAAAAAACCACAAACATGGTATGTATTCACTCATATATGGATTTTAGACATAGAGCAAAGGATTACAGCCTATAGTCCATGCCACCAGAGAAGCTAGGAAACAAAGAAGACCCTAAGAGAGACATACATGGTCCCCTGGAGAAGGGGAAAGGGACAAGATCTCCTGAGCAAAATGGGAGCATGGGGTGAAGGGAGAGGTATCAAGATGAAAGAGAAAGGGAGAAGAGAAGGGGAGAGGAGGACATGAGGGAGCAGGAAGTTTGAATCAGGGGAAGAATAGAGGAGAGCAAGAAAAGAGATAACCTTAACAGAGGGAGCCATTATAGGTTTAAAGAGAAATCTAGCTCTAGGGAAATGTCCAGAGATCTACAAGCATAACCCCAACTAAGAATCTAAGCAATAGTGGAGAGGCTACCTTAAATGCCCTTCTCCAATTATGAGATTGATGACTACTTTATATGCCATCTGTGGGACGGTAGGAGGGAACTGGGATTGATATTTCTTATTTATTTTTGTTTTTCTTTTTCTTCAGACAAGTACTCTCTACATCACCCTGGCTATCCTAAACTCAGAGATCTACCGGCCTCTGCCTCCAAAGTGTTGGGATTAAAGATATGCACCACCAACCTGACCTGCAAAAGAGTTCTTAACTATGAGCACCATAACAGCTGCAGGAAAAGTGGGCTCTTTTCTTTTCTTATGTACAACTGCAAACAAGCATGAGTTTCATTCAAAGAATGACACAAAGGCATCTCTTTCTCAAAACCTGTGGGAGAAACTAATCCAGTTCCCACAATTCGAAATTTAGTTTCCACTAACACGATCAGAAACTACAACAAAGTGTTTCAGTCTTACCTGATAGGTGACATTTTTTATGTTTGGGAATGAATTTCCTAAGGAGATTCTCCATAAAGGAATCCTGGGCCTCATCCAAAGCACATATTCCATGGTCACTTACAAATAATGGGTCAGCTCCATTCAAGAGAAGTAACTCTGCCACCTAGAAAGAGATTGATCACATAAAGGAGCTCAGACAAAGGGTATATTTTGGAAATGTATGCTAGCACAGAACTCTGAACACCATCAAACATTTACTTCAACAACACAGAGTCAGGGGTTACCTATAAAATCTCTGCCCAATAAACATAATTAGTAATTGCCTCCGAGTTGTAATTTGTTTAAATAGAAAATCCTTTCTCAAAAAAAGGTTTCTCTTACAAAAGAACAAACAAACTAACTAAACAAGAAAAGGGAGAGAAGACAAGGGAGAAGAAAGGGGTGCGCTGTGAAGAGAGTGCCACTTTTTCATCTTATGCCCCCAAGCCTACAGCTTTGGTCTAATTAGGAGACACACAGGTAAATGGTTTCCTAGAGCAAGAAGACTTGGGAGTCAATACCAAGTGCTGGCTAAAGAATAAAGGTTTTCTTATTTAGTATTAAAAACAAAAATATGGCTGGGCGTTGGTGGCACATGCCTTTAATCCCAGCACTCGGGAGGCAGAGGCAGGCAGATCTCTGTGAGTTCGAGGCCAGGCTGGACCAACAACCTCCAAAACAATACAGAGAAACCCTGTCTAGTAAAAACAAAAAACAAACAAACAAACAAAAAACAAAAATATATACTATAGTTATGGTTACTAACTTCTGTGAATAGACCAAAACCTGTTAATTATACACTTATGGGTGAATTTTGTAGTACATCAATTGTATGTCCATGAATATTATTCAAAAATGAACCCTACTAGTTTTTCCTTCAAGGATAATTTCCCCAAGAATACAATGGAAGTCCAACATGTTGGCAAACACATTTAATTCCAGCACTCAGGAGACAGAGTGGATCTATGAGTTCGAGGCCATTCTAGTCTACATAATGAGTTTGAGGACAACCAGTGCTATGTAGAGAGACCCTGCTTCAAACACAAACAAATAAACAATAATACAATAGTCACTTATATATCCTTTATCTGATCAACAATTAGCCTTTTCCCCCACTTCATACATGTATGTATGTTATCTGTATAAATGTAGGTATGTAAGTAGAAATGAATAACTTTCTTTTTATCTTTTTTATTTAAGTTAGAAACAAGTTTGTTTCACATGTCAGTCCAAGTTCCCTCTCCCTCCCCCTTTACCATCCCTCCCAAACAGGCCCCCCAGTCCCCCAGCCAATCTACACTCCGATCCCCAGGGAGGGTGAAGCCCTCCATGGTGGATCTCCAGAATCTGCCATGTCATCCAGGGTAGAGTCTAGGCCCGACTTCAAGAGTCCAGGCTGAGAGAGCATCCCTCATTGTGGGATGGGCACTCAAAGTCTATTTGTACACCAGGGATAAATACTACGCAAGGCACCATAGATTACCTAGGCCTCTTCACTGACACCCACATTCAAGGGGTCTGGGTCAGTCCCATGCTTTCCACACAGCCATCAGTCTGGGGTCCAAAAGCTCCCTCTTGCTCAGGTCAACTGTTTCTGTGGGTTAAACCAGCCCAGTCTGAACTCATTTGCCCATCAGTTCTCCCTTTCTGTCACTGGATTCCAGGAGTTCAGTTGAGTGTTTAGCTGTGGGTGTCTGCCTGTACTTTCATCAGTCGCTAGATGAAGGTTCTATTTCCCAGACTCTCTGGCAATGGGATTGTATGTTGGCACTCCCCTGATTCATGTCTAAAATCCATAAATTAGCAAGTACATACCATGTTTGTCTTTTTGTGACTGGGTTACCTCACTCAGGATGGTTTCTTCTAGTGCCATCCATTTGCCTGCAAATTTCAAGATTCCATTTTTTTCTGCTGAATATTACTCCATTGTGTAAATGTACCACATTTTCTCTATCCACTTTTCAGTTGAGGGGCATCTAGGTTGCTTTCAGGTTTCTGGATATTACAAACAATGCTGCTATGAATAAAGTGGAACAGACGTCCTTGTTGTATGAATGTGCATCTATTGGATATATGCCTAAGAGTGGAATTGCTGGTTCTTGTAGTAGACTGATTCCCATTTTTCTGACGAATCTCCATACTGATTTCCAAAGTGGCTGTGCATGCCACCAGCAATGAAGGGCTGTTCCCCTTTCTCCACATCCTCTCCAGAATAAACTGTCATTGGAGTTTTTGATTTTAGCCATTCTGACAGGAGTAAGATGGTATCTCAGAGTTGTTTTGATTTGCATTTCCCAGATGGCTAGGGATGTTGAGCACTTTCTTAAGTGGCTCTCAGCTATTTTATACTCCTATATTGAGAATTATCTATTTAGTTCTGTACCCCACTTTTTGATTGGATCCTTTGGTGTTTGCTTTGATTGGATCCTTTGATCCTTTGCTTCTTGAGTTCTTTGTAAATTTAGGAGATCAGCCCTCTATCAGATGTGGGGTTAGTGAATAACTTTTCCCAATCTGTGGGTTGCTTTTTTGTCTTGCTGACTGTGTCCTTTGCTTTACAGAAGCTTCTCAGTTTCAGGAGGTCCCATTTATTAATTGTCGACCTTAATGTCTGTGCTACCAAAGTTATGTTCAGGAAATGGTCTCATGTACTAATCTGTTCAAGAGTGCCTCCCACTTTCTCTTATAACATGTTCAGTGTGTCTGGATTTATGTTGAGGTCTTTGATCCATTTGTATTTAAGTTTTATGCATGGTGAAAGACATGGATCTATCTGCAGTCTTCTACATGTTGGCTTCCAGTTATGCCAGCACGATTTGTTGAAGATGCTTTCTTTTTTCCACTGTAAAATTTTAGCTTATTTGTCAAAGATTAGGTGTTCATAAGTGTAAGGATTAATGTCGGGGTGTTCAATTCGATTCCATTGGTCTGCCTGTCTATTTTTTTTACAATACCAAGCTGTTTTCAGGACTATAGCTCTGTAATACATCTTGAAGTCAGGGATGGTGATGCCTCTGGATGTTGCCTTGTTGAACAGGGTTGTTTTGGCTATGCTGGGTCTTTTGTTTTTCCATATAAATTTGAGAATTGTTCTTTCAAGGTCTGTGAAGAACTGTGCTGGGATTTTAACGGGGATTGTGTTAAATCTGTATATTGCTTTCAGTAGGATTGCCATTTTTACTATGTTGATCCTACCTATCCAAGAGCATGGGAAATCTTTCCATTTTCTGGTGTCTTCTTTAATTTCTTTCTTTAAAGACTCAAAGTTCTTGCGATACAGGTCTTTCACTTGTTTGGTTAGAGTTACCCTAAGGTATTTTATGTTGTTTGTGGCTATTGTAACGGGTGATGTTCCTCTGATTTCTTTCTCAGCCCTTTTATTGTCAGTATATAGTAGGGCTACTGATTTTCTTCAGTTAATCTTGTATCCTGCCACTTTGCTGAAGGTGTTCATCAGCTGCAGGAGTTCCCTGATAGAGTTTTTTGGGTCACTTATGTAAACTATCATATCATCTGCAAATAGTGAAAGTTTGACCATTCTCTTTCCAATTTGTATCCCCTTGATCTCCTTTTGTTGTTTTATTGTTCTAGCTAGAACTTCAAATACAATATTGAAGAGATATGGAGAGAGTGGACAGCCTTGTCTTGTTCCTGATTTTAGAGGAATTGCGATGGGTTTCTCTCCATTTAGTTTGATGTTGACTATTGATTTGCTGCATATAAATTTTATTATGTTAAGGTAAGTTCCTGTTATCCTGGGTCTCTCCAAGACCTTTATCATGAAGGGGTGTTGGATTTTGTCAAAGGCTTTTTCAGCATCTAGTGAGATGATCATGTGATTTTTGTTTTCCAGCTTGTTTATATGGTGGATTACATTGATGGATTTTTGTCCCTGCATCCCTGGGATGAAGCCTACTTGGTCATGATGGATGAGTTTTCTGATGTGTCCTTGGATCGATTTGCCAGTAATTTATTGACTATTTTTGCATCAGTGCTCTTGAGGGATATTGGTCTGAAGTTCTCTTTCTTAGTTGTGTCTTTGTGTGGCTTGGGGATCAAGGTTATTGAAGCCTCATAGAAAGAGTTTCGCAAAGACCCTTCTGCTTCTGTTGTGTGATTGTGTGGAATACTTTGAGAAGAATTGGTATAAGCTTTTCTTTGAATTTCTGGTAGAATTCTGCACTGAGGCCATCTGGTCTTGAGCGTTTTTTCTTTTTTTTTCTTTTTTTTTGGTTGGGAGACTTTTGATGACTGCTTCTATTTCCATAGGGATTATAGGTCTATTTAAATTGCTTATCTCTTCTTGATTTAATTTTGGTAAGTGATATATATTAAGAAAATTGTCCATTTTCTATAGATTTCGAGGAGTACAGGTTTTCAAAGTATGACCTGATGATTCTCTGGATTTCCTCAGTTTCCGTTGTTATGTCCCCCTTTTCATTTCTGATTTTGTTAATTTGCATATTCACACTCTGCCGTTTGGTACATTTGGATAAAGGTTTGTCTATCTTGTTGCTTTTCTCAAGGAACCAACTCTTCATTATACTGATTTTTTGTATTGTTTTCCTAGTTTCTGCTTTATTGATTTCAGCCCTCAATTTGATTATTTCCTGGCACCTACTCCTCTTGGATGTGTTTGCTTCTTTTTGTTCTAGAGCTTTCAGCTGTGCTCTTAATTCTCTAGTATAACTATTCTCCAGTTTCTTCATGTGGGCACTTAGTGCTATGAACTTGCCTCGTAGCACTGTTTTCAAAGTGTACCATAAGTTTGGGTATGTTGTGTCTTCATTCTCATTGAATTGTAGAAGTCTTTAATTTTTTTTTCATTTCTTCCTTGACCTAGGAATGGTGCAATTGTGCATTATTCAATTTCCAATTCTAACGCATGGTAGTCTGATAAGTTGCATGGAGTTATTTCATTTTTTTTAACCTGTTGAGGTTTGATATGTTGCCAAGTATGTGGTCGATTTTTGAGAAGGTTCCAAGTGGTGCTGAGAAGAAAGTACATTCGTTTTTTATTTGAATGAATGTTCTATAGATGTCTGCTAATCCTAATTGTGTCATAACTTCTATTAGTTCCTCTGCTTCTTTGTTAAATTTCTGTCTAGTAGTCCTGTCTAGTGGTGAGAGTGGGGCGTTGAAGTCTCCCACTGTAAGTGTGTGAGGCTTTATATGTGATTTGAGCTTTAGTAATGTTTCTTTTATGAACGTAGATGCTTTTGGGGCATAGATGCTTAGAATTGAAACTTGATCCTGGTGGATTTCTCCTGTGATGAGTATGAAATGCCCTACTTCATCTCTTTTGATTGATTTTATTTTAATGTCTAATTTGTTAGATATTAGGATTGCCACCCTGCTTGTTTCTTGGGTCACTTGATTGGAAAATTTTTTTCCCAACCCTTAACTCTGAGGTAATGTCTGTCTTTGAGGCTGAGATGTGTTTCTTGTATGCAGCAGAAGGATGGGTTCTGTCTTCGAATCCATTCTGTTAGCTTGTGTCTTTTTATGGGCAAGTTAAGAACATTAATATTGAGGGATATTAATGACCATTGATTGCTCATTCTTGTTTGTTTTGGAATGGTTCATGGTGGTGAAAATATATGTGGATTTCCACCTCTTTTTTCATTTGGCTGTTGCTAAGGTGAGATTATCTATTGCCTATGTTTTTCTGGATGAATAACTTTTTAAACAAGTAGTTGTGATACAGTGACATTTCACCTCTAAATATTTAAGTGTGTTCCTCCCAAGAATGCTCAGAAGATGACCATTATAGTATTATACAACTCAGACAAGAAACGAACTATATATTGTTAGTATCATTTATCCAGTAGATAGTACATATTCATATTCTCCAAACTGACTCAAAATAAATATGTTCCAATCATGGCTCACATACTATTTTCACTTTTTTATGTTTAAGTACTCTATTTTAATAATGATTAGGCCAATTTTTCTTATAGATGTCCTGATAAGTTCATCAAATTTTTCTGGAAACATTTAACTCAGCTATTTATTTTTCTGTTTCCTTAAACTAGAAGTGAGCTTAGATTAAGTGGTTTGAGATGTATAGTTAATATCTTATGTTTCCTACTTTCATCTTTAGCTATAAAGTAGAAGGAGGTGTGATACCTGTAATTATTAAACAAGAATTCAGTTAAAATAAAAGAATTCCCACTAAGTCCTAGAACATTAATTTATATTAAAAAAATAAGGGTCAACAATAACAGTTTGAAGTGGATAAAAAAGTTTCTCTCTGTTCAGCCTCCACAAAGACAGGACTTAACTGCATGTGAAATAATGGCACAATGAGATACACATACATGCTATAAGTGACAAAGAATGATGGCAATAACACCCCCGTTAACAGTCTGAGAACTAGAAACAACAAGACACTTCTCTAGCAAACCAACATGATCTCATATTACCGATACTAGAAACTTGCACTAACCCTGAACTTTTGTTAATATTTATTCATTCTTACCACTGTTATCATCTGAAGATTTTAGTTCAAGCTATCTTAAAATGACTAAAGTAATGCCATCTTGTTCTGATTCTGTTTTATGTGCTTAGAAAGTTCTCAGCCCTCTACCTCCCTTCTCTCAAATGGTCATATCTGCCTTGGCAACACATTTGAGTTTCTCCATGGCCTTGACCATGTTTCAGATATATTAACCAAAATCATTAAGTAAAATGAAATAACAAGAAAAGATATGAGTCAAAAGTAATTGACAAGTTATGTCTAAAATAACTACCATGCTCTGCCAGGAATGAACGGTTTAAGGTTATGCTGACCCTCATCTAACTTTGATATAAATTATGGTCTTGGTGGTTTTGTCTTTAAAACTCTGCATCCCTGAGCTTGGACACCAAGAGACTTTTCAGAGGTACAAGTGTGCTCTTGGTCTGGCCATCAATAAAAACGACTTAAAACTTTTAATTGGCTTGATCAGTGTGGTTGTCAATAACTATCTCATGTGGATCATCATTTCAGTGTACACAATACAACAGTACAAAATTTACAGTGCAAATGTAAGACTTGGAAGTTACAACTGAGGACACATTCTAATAGGAAAAGAGAAGAAAAACAGATTCTTGAAAAATTGATAAGAATTAGCAATGTGATTGGTCTTTTTTAAAACTTCTTCACAAGAGGATTTAATGTTAGATAAAAAACAAGGCAATAGTAGATAAAATCAAGTTTACGCATATGTGAGTCTTAGGAAGAAACCAAAGAATTTATATCTGGATCTTCACACATATGTTTAGCAAAGAAACCAGAACATGATGCATTCATTCAGGAAAAGTGCTTTGACTTGGAATTAACTAACAGAACTATGGTGTTCAGCTACTGAAATTTTGTGTTCAGTAATAAGATGTGTGACATGAAAGGATGCAGGGGCGGAAGAAAGGTGACTGAGTTTAACAAGCAAGTCAGGTAAGAGCCTTGTGGAATCTGAATTGGGACAAGGGATGAATACATTACTTTGGCAAGATCTGTTGTGAATCAGAGACAGTCTGCCTTACCAAATGTCCACATGTTAGCAATTCCCCCTGGGGCCTGAACCCAGGACCTTACAAAATCTAACAATGTTCTGCCATTGAGCTACACTTCTATTCCAGATAAGAACTTTGAAGGGTGCAAATTAAGCAAACTTTACTCATGTGTTCCTTCTACATTTGGACTGTCAATTCAATAACTACTGCTACCAAAAAAATCACCTCACAATTTAGTGGCTTAAGATAGCAATCAAAATGCATAATCTCACAGTTTGAGTGAGGAATTCAGGAATTTGAAAGTGACCTAGGTAGATGGTTCTGTCTCATAGTCTATCATGTACTCAGGCTGTTGGCTGAGTACACAGTGAAACAAAACCTTGACTGGGACTTGAGGATATTTTTCTAAAATGGCTGGGTAACCCAGCTGCAGGCAGAAGCAATAATCATTGCCACATGGGTTGCTCTAAACAGCTGCTTGAGTGTCATTATGATACAACAGTTAGCTTTCTCTAGTCAATGAGTCAAGAGAAAAATTTAAAAAAATTCCAGTATCTGTTAACAAAACCTTAGAAACTACATACTGCCATGTCTTATTTGCTAGAGCCAAGTAATTTAAATGTCATTCTCTAATCCTTGGAAAGGAATTAGGCTCTACCATTTGGGGAAAGAATATTAACGAATTTGTGGACTGATTTTAAAGCTTTCCTATGTACTTTTACCTTCTGTCATTTTATTTTTGAGCATTGATAGCAGCCTTACATGTAATAGCCTAACCCACAATCCAGGTGACCTTGGAGCAGGATATTACTCAAAAAAAAAAAAAGAATTACCAACTATTTAACATCATACAACATAGGGAAACACAGTAGGAAATATCCTGGTATTTCTGATATTCTGAAAAAGATAGAACGACAACAATAGAAATCAGATACTCTGCTGTGAAGGGCTGGGTAGGGAGAAAGAAGATTGACTGGTGGCCATCTTTGAAAGAAAAGTAAAGGGCAGGGGCTGCCATGCTGGCATTATTCTGACCATTAAACGATGTGCCATGTGGAATTCTCCTTCCACAGTTTTCCTCAAATGGTGTCCCCACCCACCAACATTATTGAATACATTATCAAAATAAGCAAAATTGTCTAAATTCCCTGTAAGCACTCTTCTACACTATAAATAAGTATGCCCATGACACCTAGGAGCCTCTTCAATCTCTCTGTGCTTGGTATTTATTCTAAAAGCATGAAGAAAAGATCATACCATGGTCAGTTGATCAAACCCCTTTATACACCAGGAGCTTTTAATCCATAAATAACTTCTCATACCTGAAATAAACAGTTAAATATCTTCAGGGAATGAGAGTATAGCTCAGTGATAAATGCTTTACTAGTATGGGCAAGGCCCTAAATTAGACACAGCACTACAAAAAGGAGGAGGGGAAGAACGGGGAAGAGGACAAAAAGGAGGAACATGAACAACAGGAGAAGGAACAGGGACATCTTCAGCAAGGCTTCAGTCCTCTAATATAGTGCCTGTAGTTTCTGAGATGAACCATGGATACTGAATTCATCATCTTGCTTAATATTTTTATTTACTAGAATGAAAGTACGGTATTTGATTTTAAACAGTGATATATATATCCATGCAGGGAACTATGGTTAACTCGGGCACTCTCCTACACAGTGATGAATATTCAGTCCATGAGGTTACTGGCTTCCTATTGGACTGAATATTACTGTTTATAGAAGAAAACATTCTTTACAAAGTATAAATTATTGTATAAAAGGAGCTTTAAGAGAGTATACACTGAAAACCATACTATGTAAGAAAAATGTTTTGTATGACTACATACAAATAGTATGTTAAAATGGCATGTTCCTGTAATCTCAACTACTCAGGAGACTGAGGAAGGAAGATCCCTTGAGCCCAGGAGCTCAAGGCCATCCTGGACAATAATATCAAGACTGTATTCCAAATGAACAAATAAAAAATGGTATCTATCACATTGGGCCTAATGGTAACTATCACAAGGCAAATTTCATTACAAAGCCCGAGTACTCATTAGTAAATTATCTGAAACTTGTTTTCCTACTGTGTGGTAAGAGAGATCATCAGTATTTACAAATACTGTGTGTATTCTATAAATAGAAGCATTAAAGTACCTTATAATGTCCATTCATCACAGCATCATGTAGGGGAGTAATCTGGTACTTTCCTTTAACATTCACATCCGCTCCACCCTTTAATAGTTCACTTACTGTCTGGTAATATCCTCCTACACTAGCTTCATGAAGTGCTGTCCAACCTATTATACAAGAAAGACATTTTTTATTTGACTTCTTAATAATGGATCATGCTTACTCTTTTAAAAAAGCAAAACAATTCTAGGAGCTAGAGAGATGCCTCAATGGTCAATAGCGTACACTATTCTTGCAGAGGACCTGTGCTTGGTTCCCAGCACTGACACTGGATAGTTCACAACTACTTGTAACTCCAGTTCTAGGGCATCTAACACCCTCACATTATATCAGCACAGACAGACACACGCATACATATACACGTGTAATTAAAACTAATAAATATTTTTAAACACTCTAATTTTATATAATTTCTTTAAAAGTATTATTACATGAGCTCACATAGTATCTCCTAAGAGTATTTTGTATTAACTAGTGGATTCAAGGAGGATTGCAAATGTAGCTCAGTTTATACAGTGTGCCTAGCATGCACAAGGGCCTGACTGTAAGAAGTGATTCTACATAAAGCCAGACATGGTTCTGCATGCCTGTAATCCTTGCATATGGGAGGTGAGGACAGGAGAATATAAAGTACAAAGTTATCCTCTGCTACATACCAAGTTTGAAGTCAAACTGAGCTACATGAAACCTGTCTTTAAATAAAAAAAGAAAAAAATCAAATCTTTAATTCTCAGTCCTGCTATGGCAAAATATACACAAGAGACAACAAACATTTATCTTTATTTTTAATTATATACGTACATGCATCTCTATGTGGCAATGTACATATGAATGAAGTGCCCATGGAGGCCAATGGTACTGGATATCCCTGGATATAAAGTTACAGTTGGCTGTGAGCTGCCTGACATAGGTGTTAGGAATTCTTGAGTCCTGTATAAGAGTATTATGAACTCCTCACTGTTGAGTTACCACTTCAAACCAAGAAAGCAAGTATTTTAAAGTATTCTTAAAACCCTTCCCAGTCCGTTATCAAGCAGTACAGAATACTGATTACAGGCTACTTGCGTGGGGAAGAGGGAAAAAAAGCTCTATTTCTAATTCAAGGTATAACCATTGAAGTATCTTAGGCAGTAGACCACATATGTCTAAGTTAAAGGCATATTTCCCCCTTACTTACACAAACAGCTATTTATATTTACAGTAATTCAACCAACAAACCATATACCATGTCTTTATAGAAGCATCACCTTGTTAGTCAGAGGTAACAGTACACTGTTGATAATTACTAAATTCAATAAATCATTTGATAGATTTAATAAAGTCCAAAATTCCAGTGAAAATCATACTTAACTTACACTTTAGGTTTCAATCTAAGCAATGACATTTTTAGGCTAGAAAATTCATTTTTGTTCTAAGCATCACAGACTATTTAACAGCTTTCCTGGCCTCAATCTCCTGGACTGAAGAGGCACCTCCTATTTCAGAAATAACCATGAAAACGGTTGGCAAAGGTTGGAGAGGTGGCTCAGACATTAAAGGCTAGGCTCACAACCAAAACTGTTGGTAAATATTTCCCAGCGTTCCTTTGAGAAGAAAGTCAGCTCAACTGAGAAATCATTAACACAAATTCATAGCAATTCCAATAAAATAAAAAATAAGACAAGGTTGTCTATCCTCTCCATACCTATTCCATATAGCGCCTGAAGTTTTAGCTAGAGCAATAAGACAACTGAAGGAGATCAAAGACATACAAACTGGAAAAATGTCAAAGTATCTTTATTTACAAATGATATAATAGTATACATAAGTGACCCTAAAATTCCACTAAGAACTCCTAAAGCTGATAAGCATCTTCAGCAAAGCTGCTGTGTATCTGCCCAGCTATGTCACTTCCTGTCTGTCTGCACAGACCTCCAGATCTCTATGGTTAGCTAGTAGCAAGCTCCATTCTCTGACCCCCAGACAGGCTTTATTTGTGCAAGAAAGATAACACCACATTACTGGATACAAATTCTACCAGGAAACTCCTATAGCTAGTACACACTGTCAGCAAAGTAGCTGGATACAAATTTAACTCACAAATATCTGTAGGCCTCCTATATACAAGTGGAAAATGCACCGAGAAAGCAATCAGGGAAACAATACCTTTCACAATAGCCTCAAATAATATAAAATATCTTGGGGGTAATTTTAACCAAGCAAATGAAAGACTTACATGATTGAAAACTTCAAGTCTTTGGAGAAAGAAATTAAAGAAGGTATCAGAATCTGTAGGATTAATATGGTAAAAATATCCAGTTTACCAAAATCAATCTACAGATCACTTTAATCCCCTTCAAATTCCAGCACAATTCTTCCCAGATCTTGAAAAGGACTCTTTCAGTTTTATATAGAAACACACACACACACACACACACACACACACACACACACACACACACACACTAGCTCAAATAATCCTGAATAATAAAAGAACTTCTGGAGGCATTACTTTTCCCAAATTAAGTATGCTGCCACATCCTGCCTGCAAGAAGAGCTAGGGTGATAGTAACACAAATTTGTGGGAGTAACCAACCAATAGCTGATTTAACTTAAGGCCCACTCCACAAGAGAGACTCCATATTCAATGCTGCTTGGTAGGTAGTTCCATAACATGGGTAAAGCCAAACACTACTGATCTAAACAAAGAAAAAAATGTAGTAATAAAATGACTCCTAATGACATTCTGCTATGTGCAGAGATTGGTGCCTTGTTCAGCCATCGTCAGAGAAGCTTCCTCCTGCAGCAGATGGGAACAAATACAGAGACCCACAGGCAGACATTATGCAGAGACCTTGGAACACTCAGCTCTAAATTGGATGTTTTCATAAGACTCCTCCCCTCAGAGCTCAGGGAGGCAGAAAGAGTAAGAGTTCCGGGGGGATGAAGAACACCAGGAGAACAAGGACCTTTAGATCCACATGAGCAAAACAATGCAAAGAAAAATCACAGAGACTGAAGCAGCATGTGTGGGTCTGCACCAGAACCTCTGTGTATGTACTGTGACTTCCAGTTTAGTGTTTTATGGGATTTCTAAGTATGTGAATGAGTGGGTCTCTGATTTTTGTGCCTTCTCTTGGGTTCTGTTCCTTCTGTTGGTTTGTCCAGTCCAATTTTAAGGTGATAGTTTTTGTTTGTCTTTTTGTATTTTATTTTGTTATATTTTAATATTATCTCTTAGAAGTCTGTTCTTTTCTAATGAGAGACAGAAAGGACTGGAACCAAATTGGGGGTGGGGCAGGGAAGAACTAGGAGGAATAGAGGGAGGAGAACCCATAATCAGGATATCTTGTGAGAAAAAGAATATATTTTCAATAAAGGAAAAAAAGAATATCCAAACCAGTAAATATTACTTGAAGATTTTTCCCCTTCAATTTTCCTTAAAATATAAGTGGTTGTTGAAAGCAGCAATTATAAAATTATCTTTTGATAATTTAAACTATATATAAATGTGACAAATGGGTATATCATAAAGGCTGAGGAAAAGTAAATGAACTAACATATAATTAATGTTCTTATATTTTTATGAACTTGAATATTAGCTCTAAGAAAACTATGGAACATTACAGGTATATGTTATCACTAGATTATTCACTAAAAAAATGGAAATATAAAAAGCAAATTAAGCTCACAGGAATGGAAAAAAAACAGCAATCCTAAACCCAATCTTTTTTCTTTTCAAGACAGGGTTTCTCTGTATTGTTTTGGAGCCTATCCTGGAACTCATTCTGTAGACCAAGGTAGCCTTGAACTCACAGAGATCCGCCTGCCTCTGCCTCTCGAGTGCTGGGATTAAGGCGTGAGCCACCAATGCCCAGCTTACCCATTCTTGTATTTAAATTTTGTTTACATATTCACCCCAGTTCTCCCTCCCTTCTTTCCTCCTGCTCTCCCCACCTTCCCCTTATCCCAGCCTCCATTTGCTCCTCAGAGAGGGTAAGGCCTCCCATTGGGAGTCAACAAAGTCTGTCCCATCACCACTTGAGGCAGGACCAAGGCCCTCCCCACTGTGTCTAGGCTGAGAAAGATATATCTCCATAGGAAATGGGCCCCAAAGAGTCAGTTTATGCTAAATCCAATCTTTTATATTAAGTAGAAACTGTCCAATTACTGTAAATTTCAATTGAAAGGCAGAGAATGGCAGTATGAATTTTAAAAAGTATATCATCTATGACAAGTATATTTTAAATAAAACACTAAACTAAAAGGATGGGAAATATATAACAAATAATCTATAAGCAAATGATTAGGATATTACTGTAGTAGATTTCAAGACAAAGCATATTATTGGTAATAAGAAGCATACATAGCCAGGTGGCGGTGGCTCACGCCTTTAATCCCAGCACTCGGGAGGCAGAGGCAGGCGGATCTCTGTGAGTTCGAGGCCGGGCTGGACCGACAGCCTCCAAAACAATACAGAGAAACCCTATCTCGTAAAAACCAAAAAAAAAAAAAAAAAGAAGCATACATAATAATAAGAGATGTTAAAAGCAAAACTGCAGGTATACATATATTAACAGGACTTTAAAGTATAAGGAGCAAAAATTGCCATAATTAAAGGAAGAAATAAATAATTCCACAGGCATAGTTGCGAAGAAATTAACAACTCTCTAAGGAAATAATAGATCAGAAGATAAAAATTCATTAAAGACATAAACAAGCTGAACTACATTATCAGCACCTTCATCAAACTGGCTTAGATATTACATCCAAAAACTAAAGAATGAATCCATGTGTATGTGGGATATTCCCTGAGAGATTATATACAAGGCAAAAACACCCCAATTCTCAATAAATCTAAATGAATCAAAATTGTTTGATTAAGCTGGGTGGGGGGTGGCACACACTTTTAATCCCAGCACTCAGGAGGCAGAGGCAGGTGGATCTCTGTGAGTTCAAGAACAGCCTGGTCTACAAGAGCTAGTTCCAGGACAGCCTCCAAAGCCACAGAGAAAACTTTTCTCAAAAAACCAAAATAAATAAATATAAATATATTATTTGATTATGGTTTTTATAGTCAAATGAAAGCTATCAAGACGGCAAGATGGATCAGAAGGAAAAGGCACTTGCCATACAAGACTGACACCCAAGTTCAATCCCTGGAACCCATATAAAGGTGGGAGTAGAGAAACAGCTTCACAAAGTTATCCTCTGACCTCCACATGCACATTACACAACAAATGATTGTGCATGATCACACACAATGATTCTCCAAACATACCAAGAGAATCTCTAAATATTTAAAATTTAAACATCTTCTAATAAAACTACTAGATAGAATAAAAATCATAGAATTACAAACATTTCAAACTAAATAGAACATATGACAATAAGTATGATGTAACAAAGTGGTACTTGGAGGGGATTTTAAAGCTTTAAATACATATATTAGTGGAAAAGGCAAAATCAGTAGCTCCATTTTCCCCTGCAGAGAACTAGAAAAGCTAGTAACATAAGAGAGCTAACGAAGAGTTGCTTGGCACAATTTACAAGAAAAATCGGGACTAAAAGAAAGGAAAGTAACGGCTGTTGCACTAGAGTACTGAGGAAGAATCTAGGCGTGCAGAGGGACATGACAGATGCTACAGACCACACAGACTCAGAACTGCCTCCATCAGACTGGCCTGTGACCATGCCTGTGAGTTTTCTTAATTATTAACTGATGCAGAGGGAGGTACAATCCCTAGACAGGTGTTTTCTGGGTCAATTTTTGCCTCTAGGTTCCTACTTGAGTTCCTGCCTTCATTTCTCTTAATGGACTATAACTGTAAAATGAAGATAAACCCTTTGCTCTTCCAATTTCATTTTTGACAATGGTTTATTACAGTAAGAAAGCAAACTAGATCGATGCACAAGTATCTACCATCATAGCAACCATGAACCAATAAAGGACTTCATATAACAAGGAATGAATAGGAGGTGACCGCATTTAGTAATTAGTAATAAAAGTACCTTAAATATTTGCTGTTGGAGAAGCCTCTAGTCCTTGCAGAACTGAGTCCAGTTTGAGGACTTTCAAGAAGTCTGCACTATGGTGTTATATCAGAAAAATACTCATCCCAAGTTGGGCCTTCCTCAGTGGGACCTGTCCTGTTTAGTGCCACTTGATGCCCTGTCAATCAGAGGTCTTGCAAAGCAGTCCCGTAAAGCAGTCCCAAAAAGCAGCTAAACAGTTTGATGCACCAAGGTGCTATAAAAAGGTCCCCATGCTCTGTTTAAAGACTGGGGAGAGACAGACATGCATATAGAGACATGCATATAATTTAAAATATAAAATATAAATTAACTTAAAAAGCAAACCAAGACAGGTACCCTGCCTAGGTCTACAACTGCAATTCAGGTTCCAAGCAATGCACTGATGCCAACAAACGCTTCATTCTTGCTGCCAGGAACAGTGTACCCACCCAGACCAAAGCAATGGCCCAACAGAACAGATCTAACTCCATAACATCCTTAAAAAGTGACGTGCGCCTTTGCTATGCTGCTGTGACAGCCACACCCAGAAGCACCAACAATCAAGCATTGCCTGTGACATCTACTTTACTAAGCATGCAGTAGGTAGTTCCATTTTAAGGTATCCTACACTGAATCCCATTGTTGTGATAATAACTCTTGTCTTTTAAGATAAAAATAACCTGGTCAACTTGCTAAACTACAGATGTCTGTGTATTACACACACACACAGAGAGAGAGAGAGACAGAGACAGAGACACAGCGAGAAAAAGACAGAGAATAGTTGTATTTTTAAACAAATGTTAATTTCTGATGAAAATAGCTTGCAGACTACCTTGTGAAAACACTGTTCTCTGTGACTCTGAGGAATAAGAGAGCAAGGAATAGAAACACAGAAAGGATACAAAACAGAATGGAAAAATAATTAATCTGAGAAGCTTGGAAAATAAAGTAAGAATAATTAATTCATGAAGGTCATGTAAGTCCCTGGGGCAGTGAGGAAATTGGCCAGAGATACCAAAGAAACAACCAGAAAAGATGTTAATTAACACTGTCACAAGAAAAAGGGCAATGAAAAAATATATTAGGCCAGGCGGTGGTGGCGCACGCCTTTAATCCCAGCACTCAGGAGGCAGAGGCAGGCGGATCTCTGTGAGTTCGAGGCCGGGCTGAACCAATAGCCTCCGAAACAATACAGAGAAACCCTGTCTCGTAAAAACCAAAGAAAATATATATATATATTAGGACACAATCGGAAATTCATAAAGTCAAATCTGGCTGCATGTAGAGCTACTTACTCATGAACTCAAGAAACAGTAAGTACTGAAGAAAGGATACAAATCCTTTAAATCAAGAGTGTAAATGTGAGGGCCAGGATCCAGAGGTTGGACAGGTCAGAGACCCAGGACAGAACCAAATATTACTGACCAAAAAAAAAGTCATTGAAATCTCTAATAATATTCTGCTATACTCATAGATTGGTGCCTAGCCCAACTGTCATCAGAAAGGATTCACCCAGCAACTGATGGAAACAGGAAGAGACCCACAACCAAATATTAGGTGGAGCTTGGGGGAATCCTGTGGAAGAGGGGAAGGAAAGATTATGAGAATCAGAGGGTCCAAGGATACCACAAGAAAATCCATGGAATCAACTAACCAGGGCTCATAGTGGCTTACAGAGATTGAACTGACAACCAGGAAACCCACATGAGGCTGATCTAGGCAATCTGCATATGTGTTACAATTATGTAGTTTAATCTTCTTGTTGGACTCCCAACACCGGGAGCAGGGGCTGTCTCTGACTCTGTTACCTGCTTTTGGAACCCATTCCTTCTACTAGGTTGCCTTGTCCAGCCTTAAAAGAAGAGGAGGTGCCTAGTCTCATTGCAACATGATATGCCATAATTGGCTGATATACATGAGTGGCCTGCCCTTTTCTGAAGAGAAAGAAGAAGGAATAGATGGTGGGGAGAGGATGAGGGAGGGGTTGGGAGAAGTGGAAACTCTGATCATGTTGGGAAAAAACAATTTTAAAAAATGTAAATCCTCTTGTAAGCAGATGAATAAGGTTTATAGAATCGTAGTTATTAATCTGAATGTAAGAGTTAAGGGCTAGAGAGGTAAAGGTGGTAAAGGTGCTTGCTGCTAACCTTGATGGCCTGAGTTCAATCCAGGGATCCCACACAGTAGAAAGAAAGAACTGACTTCCACAAATTTTCCTCTCATGTCCACACATGTGTTGCTATAAGTATGCATGCACACCCACACTCACGCATACATGTACACTAAATCAATCAGTAAATCTAGTTAAAAATAATTTTTAAAGTTATTTTAAACTATGATTATACTGCAAACCCAGGCCTTAGCAATCTAAATTGGAGGAGCACCTGCTCAACCATGGGTTGCAGTATGCCATCATTTATGCACTGTTTTATAAAAGACAATCTAGATACAAAAGGAAAAGTATAGCTATTCCAAAGCACCCCCGCAGACTGGCCCACTGCTGTTCAGTGGACTAACACACAAGTATCTATACAGCCAGTCCTATCCAGAAAAATGTACGATTCTCTCAAGAAGGAAGTACTGTAGAGCCAGTCACAGGGAAGGGCTGTTTCCTTTCTGAGCAACCTATCCACCTTCTACCTCATATTCTATTCTGCCTATTTCCCTGGTCATTACTCCTTCTGTTATCCCTGCCATCACTACTAATTTCCCTTGCAATTTAGTTAACATTAGTTACTTGTAGTTTTGATCTCATCTTACCTCCATTCAAGGTTAAGTCTCATATTAACAGTCTTGCAAAGGCAGCACCAGGAACCATCCTTCCTTCTGTATAATGCCACTACACAAGACCTACCTGACATCTTTAGTGAGAAATGTAATGTTCTTTCACCACCCATCTAATTCTTTTCCTCAGGAATAATGAGAGCCAGAGAGCATACTGCCTTCGGCTCACTTTGTCATACTTTACCTGGGCAATTCAACTAATGGCTCCCTAGACAACTGTGGGTGGTAACCCTGACTTACCAGCATAACTTGGCTGATTGACATTTCCACCATTTTTTATGCAACAGCGAATCAGATCAATATCATTATGGAGAGCAGCTTTATACAGTAAATTCTCTCCAAAAATGTTTCGCCGGTTTATACTACAAAGATACATTTCATTCATCTTCCTTTTTCCTAAAATGAGAGAAAGAACAAAGGTGCACACCTTTAATCCCAGCACCCACGAGGGAGAGGCAGGTGGATCTGAGTAGTTCAAGACCAGATTGGTCTACAGAGCGAGTTCTAGGACAGCCAGGGCTACACTGAGAGATTCTAACTCAAAAGAAGGGGACAGACTATGATAAATCCAGTCATATTAGAAGTGGATATATTATATTATTAAAGAGTATTTTATCCATTAAACTCGTTGTAATGTTTTTCTAAATACAAAAAATGTAAAGATATGTTAGTTAAAAATATTTGTAGTAAACTAAAACTTATGATATATAATTTATAATATATAAACATAAAACTTATGAAAGTGCTCATAAAAGATGACATATTTTTTAAATCCCGAGTAAAGAATTATTTAACTCTAGAATTATTTACTATCTGTTACATTATCTCTCTGTATGTCCCTGTATGTCCATGAGGTAAAGACGTAGTTCCTTAGTTACTAGGAAATGGTAGAGATTTTAACAGATTGGGTCTACTAAGAGGTAGTCAGTGGGACCCTCTCTTATACTTCCTGCCCATGGCATAAGCAGATCTTTCCACCAGGTACTCCTACCGTGATGTACAACCTCATCACAAGTCTAATCATCGATGGCCTAGATCCTCCAAATCTACGAACCAAGCATTATGAAACTTTATGTTATTGTACAGCGTATCTTATAAAGCTATGAGTCACATGAGTAAGAAAAAAAAACCTAACTTTAACAAGACCAGAAATAGAATAACCAATTTTTGGAATTGCTAGATTTTCTATTTTTTTAATGTGGGTATTTTATACCCCAGCATGTATATCTGTGCTCTTGTGTGTGTGATGCCTACAGAGGCCAGAAAAGGGAACTGGATCCCCTGAGACTGGAGTTACAGACAGCTATAAGTTGCCCTATTGAGCCTGCATCCTCTGAAAGAGCATGAGCCCTCTCTCCAGCCCTGTTAAAATTTCTCTTTAATAGAAACTGACTCAAATTAAAGAAAGAATAATGATCTTCATTTTTGCCATAGTTTTGATTTGCTAAGTCATGACAGACAAAATTAAAGCAATTTCCAGAAGACACAACCCAAGTACTAATTCTCAACTATGCCTCTTAAAATACTAAAACTAATTTCTAACCTGTATTCTCGAAATCCAGCCAATTCTCAGGGGTGATGCTCAAAGGATGTACTGAATTTCAAGATAGTTTTGATGATAGCTTTTCCAGTTTTGATACAGTGAAAACCCCCATATAAGAATTTGATAATGGTGAAGCAGACATGGACAGAGTCCTTAATCTAGCAGGAAGGAAGGTTGAAGAAGGAAGCCTTTCCAATTCCGATCTGGCCAAGCTCCCCTATCTATGAACTTGATAATGATAAAGCAGAAATTGGCACAGTCCTATAACCCATCAGGAAAGAATGCTGAAGGAGAACCATCAACTCCAGGCTAGAGTAAACTACTCAGCACATTCCATACCAGCCTAGAATACAAAGCAAGGACATGTTTGAAAAAATCAAACAACCAAACAAACAATAAAACCTTATAAAAGTGACTGAGTGCTGAGGACTTTTCTTAATTGCCTGTAATTTTATTAATTTGCATTTATTTTGCTGCCTCTATTAGGATTAGGTCTTGCTGTAAGAGAAAAAGGAAAGACAGACTGACTGACACCCCCCCATCACTATGCATTTGCATTCCTAGGAGTGAGCATACAGAACTTGCTAAACATCCACAGCACTTAAGGGAGGTCCCAGAATGGTCATTTCTCATGACCTCCCTCTCCAGCACCCAACACTATACCTGCCAATCAAAATCTTAACAAAGTATTGAAAAGTTAATGTTCATGAAACTTGTCAGCCAAATTAACATTCAGCAATAATTTTAAAATATACAAGCAGAAATATCTTGTTGCATATGAATATCTACTTATTTTTCACATTGTCCTTCTACTTCAGAAAAGGCAGTTTTGCATGTGTATGGACTTATTTCCAGACTGTATTTCATTTCCTTGAGCTGTTTCCCTACTGATGCCAAGGTCATACTATTTCTTATTATTATATCTACAAAATTCCTGAAGCTAGATCAGGGTAGCTCTCAAATTTTAATTTCAATCATTTTGCTGTTATAGGTCCTGTGCATTTAAAAATTAATTGACTCATAGTAATTTTATGAAGGGAAAGGAAAAGAGAGAGACGAGGGGAGAAGGTAGGGTAAGGAAGAGGAGAGAGGGCTAGAGTGATGGTTCAGTCAGCAAAGTTCTTGCCTAGCAAGCACAAGAATCTGAGTTTGATCCAGGAAGGCAGATACCAGTGATCCTAGGGGCTTGCTAGCCAGCCAACTTAGCTTTATTTGCCAAGTCCCAGGCCAGTAAGAGGCTGTCCCCAGGCCTTAACATGTACCTGCCCATTGCACGTTTCTCCTCTGCCTACACCTGCACATGGGAGAGCACGCTTAAATGTGAAAGTATCCCCTAGCTGCTCTCTATAGTGAAAAGTATAGAAAATAACACTAGCCTGGCAGCCATTTAAGTTCAAATCATACTTATGCTACTAATAAGTTATGTGTGTTAATGGGAAAAGTCTTACTTGGCCTCACTGAAATTGTTAACTCATCAATAAAATTAAGATCATAGTATAAATTGTTCTACTTCAGTTCTGTTTCTATAAGCTACTAAAATAAATGAAAAAATATTCAAAATATGTCTCACCATCCTTTATTTTAAGTTGTTCATTTTTCTGTATCTGTTCACTCTTGAATCTGGATGAATGAATATTCTTCCGTTTACTGTCAGTCATTAAAACAGAATCCTGCATTCTTTTGAAAAATGGACTTATTAAATAATCACAATTTTTTACAAGATTCGTGGAGAATCACATAAAATTTTGACAAAATATTGAAAACCCAAAGATAGTTACTGAGTTATTCTCAACTGACAAAGCAACTTAAACATGGGATGGGGCCTAAGGGAGAGTCAAACCCATGCCAGTCTTCAGTTACTTTAGGTGTAGTTACCTACAATATGAGGGTTCTGAGGCTCCTGCCCTTCATTCCCCAAGATGACATGTCAACTATTCACTCTATTCTGCTTGTATGGAAAAGGAGGCAGATTCTCTGAAGGGGAGTGATGGGTAAAGGGAACTTGTTATGTAGTGGGGCACTAATCAAAAAATGCAAAATTGCAAACAGCAACATAACAATGCTTTTTACTTAGGAGTAAGTATGCTGCTTCTAACATCTTCCAGCACCCAATTTTATTTGCAGTATATCTGGTGAGAAAGATACAATTTAACAGCATACCTGAAGTTCTCTGTTGCATGTATGCTACATATTGAATCCTCATAACTAAATAATTTTGATAAAGTCTCTTCAGGTATCTTCAGCGTGACATCTGTGTGTGTCACAGCTCTGCTTGCTTTCAGTTTTTGCAGTCTAGCTGATCTTCTCAGTACATGCGGTGTTTCCTGGACAGAAGTATTTTCCACGGGTTCTGAATTTCCCTCATTGTTTAGTTGCTCATAAGAGGTGCCATTTTCATGAGTCATTATTTGTAACCTAAATGGTTTTGGGTCTTCTATAGTCTATAAAGATATACATATATCCATAAATAGTTACATCATTAAAACAAAAAATAATCTTCTCTGATAAAACTAAGTTTTTAAGATGATAGTGTACCAATTCATAAGCATATATTAACATGATGAAAAGATCTATAACTTTATTTTAAAAAGAACAACATAGAAACCAACATAGGACCAAACCAGGTGTCTTGAACGTGGGTGTCAGCTAGGAGCACTGGGCAGTCTATGGGGTCTCTGGAAGTGGAACCAGGATGTATCCCTAGTGCACGAATGGACTTTGGGAGCCTATTTCTCATGGAGGGATACTCTCTTAGCCTAGGCCCTACCCCAGATGACTTGAGAGATTTTGATAATCCCTCATGGAAGCCCTCACCCTCCCTGGGGAGTGGATGGCGGGTCAGTGAGGGGGGGCATGGAAGGATGGGAGGGAGAGGGAAACTGGGATTGAGATGTAAAATAAGAGTGTTTCTAATTTAACTAAAATTTATAAAAATAAAAAGAACAACATAGATTTTAAGCTTATGAAAAACATAAGCAGCTAATCTTGGTGACACATTATCTATAATCCCAGCCCTTGTAAAACTGAGGCAGGAGAATTGTGAGTTTGGGGCCAGCCTGGACCTCATAGAGACTTTAAAATAGTAGAGACTTTAAAATTATTTTCATCAGTATTCAACTTTAAAATTCACTGGAAAATATAAGATCACTTTTGGTGTATTAATTTGGCAGGAAATAAGTTGTTTAGAATAAGACACCCATATAAGAGTGTGACGAAGAGCAGCCAACAGCCGACTGAAGGTCTATGCAGCCAAGCACTCTACTGGCAGAAACAATGGCAGTTAGAGAACAAGGTGGCACACAGCTTCTGTATTTTCAAAAGTCAAGAGTCCGTCACAAATTATTCTCATTTCTCCTTGAGAATCTACTATAGATCTAACTTCTAAGAAGACATTTACATTTTACATGTACCACCTAAAATTTCTTAAGCTCATTTATATATACAAAGCTTCTCAAAATAAAATAAGAAAATTTTCTTTGGTTTTTGATATTTTAAGCACAGCTGAGGTAAGAGTATTGAGCTTGATTCATTCTAACTGAATTTCCTTTCTACTATTTAAAGTGTTTCTTTCCTTAAACTTGAAGACTTACTAAATGTGTGCTTACTTTAATAGTATTAGTTATATTTTCCACATTTCACTCATAGTCCTTCTTCTTACACTAGAACACTGAACTGTTTAATCATCTTTAAAACTCTATGATTAATGTGTCTTTTTCTGTTTTCTTTTTTTTTTAAGACAGGGTCTCTTCTGTGTAGCCTTGGCTGTCCTAGAACTCACTCTGCACCAGACTAGATTCACAGAGATCCACCTGCCTCTGCTTCCAGAATGCTGGGATTAAAGGTGTTTGGTCTGTTTTATTTTCTTGATCCTGTAATGTCTATCTGAAAGTTGCCAACTAGACTACATCAGTATTATACCAGGTTTGTATGCTGCAACATAAACTCATGTTTTCTCTACATCTTCCTGGGGATATACATGGAATATTTTGTTAATAGCTAAGAAGAAATAAAAACGGAGTCTAAGTTTCCATTATTATGAATTGATTGAACTATAATGTTTAAATTATGCATTTATATATCATTTAGTAACCTAAAAGATTTAATTTAAAAGTGATAAATTTATTGACACTAAAAAGAAAAGCAACATGTGTTATATTAAAAAATAAGCTGCAAAGCAGCCTGTATTATACAGTCTCATTTGAATGAAATAGATTTACACAGACTAAAAGTAATTGAAGCTACACCCAACTGTTAACAATGTTTGGAGAGTGGATCTTTGGGGGACTTTTGATACCACAGTGTTATATAATCTTGTAATGTCTGACATGTTCTTTCAGTCTTTGTTGACCTGAGACAGGGTGTTGTTATGGCCACATGCTCGCCTTGAACTCAACAACTGTCCCTGCTGCCTCAGCCTCTCCAGTGCTGGCATTGCAACTATGTAACACCACACTTGCCTTTAATTTTTATAATAATGAGAATACAAACTCTAAACATGAAAAGGGAACTTGGCTCCTGTTATGCATCTGTAGGGTCTCTGGGCATAATGTTGTGGAAATTCTAAAACCACAGTTATGTCTGGCACTTAACTCATATATTAAAGGCAAATAGGGCTTAAAGAGAGCTTAATTCCCTCACCACACTTTCAGTAGCCAAAATTACTCTGTGTCCAACTACAGTGCTCTGTATCTATCCTGAACTCAGGTTAATATAGTCATATTCTAAATAACAGAGAAATTTCTAGTAAGAAATTCATTCCTATATACTAAAAAACTAATGATATGACTTTTTATGTATGCTGGGCAGGAAACAATTTTAACTTAATCCATTGTAAACTCTACCCAGTACTTCTACAAGGAGAATTCTATGTGTAAAAGTTACACAGTATCTTCCAGATGTATTTGGTGAGATAATTTGAACTTAACACAATGAAGATTGTTATTGGTCACTACAAAAGTTAGACTCAGATATTTATACTGTACACATGCACTTGTCCTACTGATAAATGGTTGTTCTACAACCTGGATAACCTCAACCGTTTAAATGGTAGGGTAGGAAAGAGACTTAATTCACCTGTGCTATTTGTGTGCAGTCTTCATCTATGTGAGACATGGTAGGCTGTACTTCTAAACATCCATTTCCATCACTAACACTGCTGTTTTTCTCTTGTCCTTGACAGATGGGTCCTACAAGTCCAGGTCCTACATCAGCACCTGGTAATGCATTGATGGCTCCCAGCAACTCAGCAGGTAATGCATCATGGTCCTTCTTGTTTTCTAGTGCATCTCTATAACATGTTGGCAAGGCATTCAAAGGGACTGATACAGAACTCAAGGAGCTGCTCAATGGGTTCGTTAACTCTTGAAGATTGAAGTCATTCACTATTTCAAGTGTTTCTTCTTGGGTGCCATCTGGTGATTCTAGTAACCTTTCTAGAGCAGACACAAATGTTTCAAGAGAGCTTTCTTCATCTTTGGTTTCCTTAGATGTCATGATCAGTGATACTTCCTTTCCAGTATCAGAAAATGTACTTGGTACAGCTAAGGTCTTCACTGGCTCTAATGATTTCTCCTTTAGTGTAACCAAATCAGATGTCATAAGTGAAGTACCTGAGAGAAGACTAATTTCAGGGAAATCTGTGTTTTTACTTAGTTCCTATATATTACAGAAAACACAAAGCAACATTTAAAATTAAAAATTAGCTTTATAATTCACTTTATTAGTAATTTACTTTTACCAACTATCTATTTCATCCATAAATAAAAAGAATATCCCTTAATACTTTCCTATATGAAATCAGTAATGCCTAAATACATGGCCAAACATTTAACCAGGAGTGGTGAAAGGGACCAAGAATGACACTGCCTGGATCACAGATAACAAATTATCTCTTCAACTAAACTTTAGTTATCTGTTCCAACAAAAGAGATAAATGCCCTGGTTAGTCAGATTAACAAATGACCTCAATACTTCAGAGTTTAAGCAATGATACAAATTCTTTCTTTGCAAATATTTCTGTCATAAAAATTATAAAATTGTTATCAGTTCACCCTCTGAATTAATATATAAATATAAAATAATATGAAAAGGACAGGAAATCAGAAGGGGAAATAGGAGAAATGAAGGAACAATTCTATGAAATTTTATGAGGCCTAACTTTAGATTTTTGTTGTTTTTAAACAGAAAACATAAAACAACTTTCCCAGTGCATTATTTTCAAAGGCAATACCATAACAGGTTGGGCTTGTTTTTACAAAGGTTCCAGTGCCCAGATACTAGAATCCCTCTGGAAGCTGTTATCCAAATCAGCTGCTGTGCTACTCAGGAAAACAATGTACTTTATTAATCACTTTGGCTGTTCCTCACAAGTTCACTACCTCTCTGGAAGGATGCATTACTGTCTCCTTAGCCTGCTAATGATTTGTCCTAAATTGAATAAAAGAAGTAAAAATTAACTTATTCTGTCCACTACCATTTATCCCCTGTCTATATCATACAGACCTAAGAAGGTGACTTTATTTATCTGTAATACTTACTATAATTTTCTTGTAATTTAGAAGAAATCAAAAAACTGTATCTTACTCATTATTTGAGTCACATCTTAAGGGTTCCCCACTATTTAAGTCCTTTGATGTTTATAAAACTCAAGACAGAAACATATACCAAGCAACAGCCCCACAAAACTTAAGATGCAAGAGTCACTAACCTTCAGGGAGGGGGAGGCAATAGAGAGTTGTTGATTTTGCTGAAAATGTTTTGGTGAGACAAAGTTAAGCAAGTTACTTTCCTACAATTTTTTCTAAATACATAAATATCTGACACAATGCTCTCCAGTAGTAGTATTAAAATTTTTTCAGATAATTAGGAAATATTGATATAGCCAGTGAAAACTAAATATCAGAGAAGAAGCAATTACTTTGATCAAAATTACCAGCTACCTGACACAGTTCCAAAGACAAGGAAGGAGCTGAAACATAAATAAATGACTTATGAAGAAGGGACGGGACAAGAGCATTTATTCAGACACAACTAGGTGCCAGTCAGAAGTCATCTTGCTCCTCGATCTCACAGCAACTCTTTGAAATATCTGTGCATACATTATAGATGTAAACATGAGTTATCCTTGAAGTTATATCCAATCCAAATTTTATGACCACTTCCCTGCCTTCTGGTTCCTAACTTCATCAGAAAAGCTTGGTACCTGGATATACAGAAGGTACAGCTAAAATGATGGGCCCAGGAAGGCCCATAACTATTTGATATCCTAGAGAGTGGAGTCCACTGCAGGCAGAGCCAGTTCACAGCACCAAGGGGAAAGTAAAGACAAAGCAGGCCTTGGTAAACATTAGCAACATGAGAAAGCAAGCTTGAAGTATTAAAGAAATGAGGTTGACATTAAAAGCAACAAAAAGGAATATGTTCCATCATCTAAGCATATGTAACGAGAAGTTATACACTTCTCTAAACAAAGAATAAGTCTTGTAGCAGTGGGTAAGAAACACAGATCAGAAAATTACTAAAATTATTAAAGATAAGGAAGAATAAATACGGGGCTGGAGAGATGGCTCAGAGGTTAAGAGCACTGACTGCTCTTCCAGAGGTCTTGAGTTCAATTCCCAGAAACCACATGGTGGCTCACAACCATCTACAATTCAGTCTGGTGTATATGTAATAAATAAATAAATCTTTAAAAAAAGATCATCTTTTTAAAAAAAGGAAGACTAAATACATGAACAGATTTTTAGACAATGATTTTCCTCCCTGGGGACTTCCTTTCATGGTACCAGAAGGCATCATGCAAAATTACAAAGCAGGGAAGGAACCAATAATGTTACCCAGCTATGACACCTATGAACCACAAAAATGACCAACATGGCACAATAATCCTAAGGGTGCAGCAGTGACACACACACCTTGGTTGCAACCAACAGCTCTCTAGTTGGACATAAGACCCACTCAACAAGAGTACTGGAAACCTAGCCAAACCTAGTGAGATCAAGGATCTTAGATGAGAACCTACAATGGACACTTTATTAAAACAGTGTCATTCCTAACTACATTCTAAATATTTACATTTGTACATGTAATTCTCATCCCTCATCAAAGAAATCTCTCTTCGCAACAGGAGAAAGTTACAGAAAAACACAACTGATCAAATTGCAGTGAACAGAGATTATATGTACTCAGTCCCAACCAACAGATCTACAAGACAACTCCTGCACTTAAGGCTCATGGATCATTGTAGAAGAGAGGGCAGAAAGATTATAAAACCCAGAGAAACAGGAAATTTTCTGCGAGACTGTGTCTCCTAGAAATGTCAGACAATTTTCATCAAGAAGATCTGAATGAACAATGATGACACCATTGATCATGTTAACATGGAAGGTGGATAGTTTGTGGGGTCTCAGTCCTAAACAAGGAACTACAGACAACTGGGGAATGCTGAGAGTGGAAGAAATAGTATTGTCCAGGGTGGTTATCTCTGAGGTCATAAACATTACACGAACTGAGCAAGCAATACTGGTACATTTAGGAACACGCATACAGGAAAATACACACACACACACACACACACACACACACACACAAATGACTTAGAACTTTGAACTCCTGACCCTTCTGAGTGTTGAGATTACATACATACATACATACATACATACATACATACATACATACATATTTTTAAAAAAGAGGTCATGAATTTGAGAGAAAAATGAATGGAGTGCATGGGAAGGTTGGAGGGACAAAAAGGAAGGAGAAATAATGTAATTATAATTTCAAAAAGTATTTTTAAAAAGAATAGGTTTCTAGCTAATGACATGATTTAGTCTTATGACTGCCTAATGGAGAGTCTAAATGAGCTTGAAACTTCAATCAACATGATTTTTAAAAATCTAAATCCACACTCTACATAGCCAGTCTTGGCTACATAAACCAACCTTTTCTGGGTGTGGCAAATTTTCACAGTTTTCAACTTCAGGACCTAGAAAAGAGTAATATGTATTTATTATAGCAGTATTAAACCACAAAGTATGCCCTTCTCAATCATCATTTTATAATAATAAAACTTGAGCTTTCTTAAATAATTAGATATAGCAAATATTTTATAAATATACTTATTGCTATAAACTTACTATTATTTAGAAAATAATAAAATTATTTATTTCTTAGGCTGGGGATGTAGCTCAACTGGTAGACTGCTTGTCCTGGGTTTTATCCCTACTACCCCTTAAACTGGGAGTGGTAATGCCAGCCTATATTCCAATATTCAGGAGAGGGGTCAGAAGCTCAAAGTCATCCCAGGTTACACAGCGAGTCCAAAACTAACCAGGATTACATCAAACACTTTTGGTTTTCATTTCTTAAAAAATGAAATTAAATTAAAATTTTAAAAGTGAAAAAAAGAAAAAAAAGCATGTGGTATCAGAACACAGTCCAAGAATGGATTAATGTGAGAAGAATTCTGAATGCTTGTTTTGAGAAAACAAGACAATAGTCTTGTAACCTTGGTTTCTTTAAAAAAAAAAAAAACAACACAGAATTGTTCTTGGAATATGCTTTTGTGGTTTTCCGAGTTGTAGTAGATAGCAGTGAGTTTACTTCAGATTACTCTTTACAACTTGCTATTATTTGTTTATACACCTCTATGGGAAAACAAGTTTTTGCCATGTGCAGCTTGTCCTTGTGAATGTATGCAGCCTGAACTCATGAGAACTCATCTCAGGTGACCTTTCTTAACCCTCAGGGTATAAATTGCCTGATGCTCTGAATAAAGTTGGCTATTACATGAGACTTTAGTCTAACTCCTTTTTAGGCTCTGGTCCCTCAGGTTTAACCACCAATTAGAGCCATAAACAATGTGAATTCTAACAGAACTACTTGAAATTAGTTTAGCTAGGAACACACCTATTTCTGCTGCATTATTCTAAGTACTTATAACTACACAAGAAGAGTTTATCATCTCCTCTGGATAGGTAACAGAGCTAAAATGAATTCAAGCCATTTGGAGTTAGATCTGAATACCTCATGTAGGGCCAAGAGGAATCATCTAGACTCTATCCAACTCTATTACCTGCTCTCAGCCTAGCTCCTCTAAGAGCAGCTGGATCAAAGCAATTGACACCAAGTTAGTTGAGGAAACATCAAGACAAGGATGCTTTTTTTTTTCTACTACTCCACATCCCTTCTGTCTTCTACTTTCATTTTGTTAACCAAGCACCAAGTAATCTGATATAATTAAGTAAAATTCACAACTCACTGATGCTTCAAGCAGTATTTGAGTCTCTTGGTATCTTTTGACTATAGATAAATCTCTAATTATTTGCTGAATCTTAGAATGCATCTGTAGGGGGAAACTTAGGTCTGCGCCATTAGTCACATGGTAGTCTAGAGGTGCATACAAATGTGGTAATGATGGGGTGGTCGGCGCACCTAACCACACCTACTTTGGACGTGACTAGAGACCCAAAAGGATGTGGTCATGATAGGGCGGTGAACTACTCCACTAGTCAGGCACACTTTTGGGCATGGCTAGAGGCGTGTACCGAGGTAGGAATAAAAAACTGAGCAGCAGAGCCTCTCACTCTTTTCGGTTTCCGGTTCCGTGGGGGGGGGAGGGGGGAACTACTTGATCCATCTGGTTGCCCATTTTCTCTTGTGAGTAACTTCTACAATAAACAGTTACCTATACCCTCAACAAGTGTGCCTTTCATCGTTACAGCCACATGCATCCTTGCAGGCAACACTGGTTTACAGGAAAGAAACTCAGCATAAACATACCTGCTAAACTTTACACCATCCAAAAATCTCAGGGTTTTTTCTTTTTCTTTTTTTTTTTTTTTAAAGCAGGGGAGGCAGATAATGTGGGAAGTGGTTGTTACCTCCTCAGTACTGGAATTAAAGCATGTGTCAAATCCACCTTCATTTGTTTTCCATGTGTATGGGTATTTTGCATGCATGTATGTGTGTCTATATATAATGTACATGACTGGAATCTGCAGAGACCAGAAAAGCTGTCAGATCTCCCTGTAACTAGAGTTACAGATGGTTGTGATTGTTGGGAATTGTACCTGTGCACTCTGGAAGAGTATCAAGTGCTGTTAACCACCACCCATCTCTCTAGTCCCAAATTTAGCTTTTTTACTGGGTTTCTGGGGATCAAACTCAAGTCCCCATACTTAAACAACAAGCACTTTGCCACTGAGTCCCAACAGAAAACATCTTATAATAAAGATAAAGAACACACAACTACAATGGTTTCAAAACTTATCAATTATCTTCAACATATTCTGAAGCAACAATATTTAGTGTGATTCACTCTTGTTTATTTCTATTTATGTTGCTGAAACTTATTAATATTAAAGTAATATTTACTTTGAACCTGTTATACCATGAGGGCATGAAAAAAATAAAGGAAGTCCTGTCTCTCCCAGTACCATAGCCAAGACTTTGAAGGTCAAGAAGGTAGCACTGAAAGGCACCCACAGCCAACCCCCCTCCAAAAAAATCCACCTTCTAGTGGCACAAGACACTGTGGCTAAAGAGTGTAAGTGTTACCTTGGTCTCCTGGAAGTCAGGATCCAAGGAGTAGCACAAAAATCACACCACACAACAAACCTCACACAAGAGATTTATTGGGAAAGATTAAAGAGGGTGAATGCTTATGCTCAGAGAGAAACAGCAAAGAACTGAGTAGGAGGCAGGCTTTGCATAGGATTTCTTGGGGGCAGAGTAGGCAGAAGCCTTTGTATAGGATTTCTATGGGGGTCTGGGGTTGATGGGATTCTGTGGCCTGATCTTGGAACAAGCTCAGGGGTTGGTGAGATTTTGTGGCCTGACCATGGACTTTTTTTCCCCTGTAGGGGGGAGGTTGGCCACCTACATCTCAAGATGCTAGAAATGCCTTTGTAGCCCTTAGAGTAGTCTGAGGGTGGGGTCTAACCATTAGTACCTCAAAGGGCTTTCAGAATGGAAACCTGAACTTCCCCAGAACAGCACTCCTAGAGAAAATAAGCTTGATTATTAAGATATCAAGTTTTTCTTGGTCACTAATTCTGCCATGCAGACAGAAATACCGCAATTGGTGTTCACTGTGGATGATCAAATAGTCCATGAAGCTGTGCAACAGTAGTTCTCAGCCTTCATAATGCTGCAACCCTTTTAATACAGTTCATGTTGTGGTGACCACCAACCATGAAGTTATTTTATTGCTGCTCCATTACTGTAAACTGTTAATGTTACTAATTGTAATGTAAATATATGAATGCAACATCTGATGTGTGACTCCTGTGAAAGAGTCATTCGATCCCTGAGTTGAGAAGCACTCTTCTACAACACTGATGAGGCCAAAGCCAATACTCTGGGCAGGTTTGATACAAGGAACAGAATTATGTTTTCACTAGCCCTGGACCATGATGCTTTGAACACTGCCAAAAAGTTAGGCTCACCTACATTGAGACTAGCTAGCTAATACTATGCTTTCTCATCATAAATTCTAAATACTTACTCTGATACTCTCAGGCTTATAGAAATTGCATCAAAAAATGTCTTTGACCAACTATCCCACAGAATATGGGTTCCTGACTATCTAACTCTTACTGAGGCATGGGAACTCTTGAGGAGGATTCAAACCTGAATAACCCATTGTGTTTTCTTTCGAGACATGATTTATCTGTGTAGTTTTATAGACCAGGCTGGAAGAACTCAGAGATCCACCTATCTCTGCCTCCCAAGTGCTGAGATTAAAGGCATTTTAAAGGCATGCTCCCCCAATGTCAGTGAGGAGGCCTGGGCAACCTATGGGGCCCTGAGCAGTGGATCAGTGTTTATCCCTGGAATACAAACAGACATTGTGTGTCCATAACACAAAGAGGGATGCTCTCTCAGCCTGGACTCTTAGGGGAGTGCCTGGACCCTACCCTGAGTGAAATGACAGACTCTAGATATCCCCTATGTGGAAGGAAATGGCAATAGGGTGGGAGGCTGGAGGAATGGTGGGGGGATGCGGGAGGAGGGGAGGGAGAGGGAACTGGGATTGATATGTAAAACAAGCTATTTACAATTAAAATAATAAAAAACAAAAACACAAACAAAAAACAAAACAAACAAAAAAAGGTGTGTTCCACCACTGGCCAGGTAAATAGCCCATTTTCTAGTTTGACTTATAACAGTTTGAAATGAAGTGACCAGCCCCTTGCCCCCATCCCCCATTTTAGCAGCCATTACAGGCTAACATGTGCTTGCATGACATTACTATTCCTGTCCTGGTCACTAGGAGGTCAGATGCCCTCCGTGTGGCAAGGAACCAATCAGAAGTTAGCTGGTGGAGCTGTGCTTTACGGCTCTGGATGTGCTTTATGGACAAGTGCAGTGAAATGCAGAGCATAGCAACTGCCCTGGGAGGGCCTATGGGCCATAACAACCAGTTGACCAATCAACACAGGGCAGGTCGGCCAAACCTGGAAGCGCGCCAGTCCTGAGACTGATGCATACCCCTAGACACATGCCTTAAGATGCCCTATAAAATCCTTGCCTCATGGTTTCTCGAGGTCTTTCTCCAGCCATCTGCTGAGGTGAATGGATGAAAGGCCTGAGACAATGGGGATAGCTCATTAAACAACTACAATAAAAGACTCTCTGCTTTTGCATCAAAATGGGACTCTTGATGATTTTGGGGTTCAGAATTTAGGCACAACAGAACTTCAAAAAGATTTCTTTTTTTGTAACTTAACATTTTGTCTCAAAATCTTTAAGTTTTATTTGATCACTGTTAGAAAAGCCTCTCTCATACCACTTGCCAACTCTGGGATCTCTTGGCTTGGGGAGTGCGGGCAGGTCAACTCCCTTCTATTCACCAAGCAACCAAGAGTCTGCTGATGGCACTGTGCTAATCCAGCTCCCACCCACCAGGAGAGGGAGAATCTCAGACCTGCCTGCACCCACCATGAGGCCCATCAGAATACTAGATCAGCTAGCACCCACCAC